GCACAGTGTGCCTCTAATTCCTATATTTGAGCAGGACCTTTTTTTTTTAATTTTTATTACTTGACCTCAGTTTCATTAAAAATATAGAATTATAATTTTATTTCTTCTGTATTTTCCAGCATATAAGACAACACTGTGTTCTATAATAGTAAAAAGCCTGCTCTGATTGGCCAGAGTCAGAGAGGCGGTCTATTAAAAAAAGAACTGGTGTTGCCTCGGAAGTGGGGGGTAGTCTTATACAGCGAATATAGGCCTAAACCTAAATTTTAACTGTAAAAGTAGGGGGTCGTCTTATACGCCGGAAACTACGGTACTCTACACATGCAAAAATGGGAGTATGTACCAGGATATTCACAGCTGCTTTTCCTGTGAGATGTGATTGTGGGTGGTATTTGTTTCCCTCATTATGCTTCTCTGTATTTTCCTCGTTTTTTTATAGAATAGATATGCTTTCCTTTTGTTGAGATGATAGATGAAGCATCCTTTGAGGGTAGACCATCTGCAGGAGGTCACACCTGCTGGTTAGTAACAGCACTCTAAACAAACCCAGAACGTGAGCAACAAATACCTGCAGAGGAAACAACACACAGCTCAGCTGGAGAGTGACTCTATTCTTTACCCATTTCATGTTTCAGAGGGCAAACCCTGTGAGACCTGCTGGTTCTGACAGACTCTCAGGCCCGAGAATAGACAGAGGACTCCCGGATGGCTGTCAGGCAACAGCTCCAGAAGGGCCTGGTGGCTCTTTACCATCCCTGCTGCTCAGTTTGGGCAGCTGTTAACAGGTACTTTGTATCATTGGAGGTTAGAGGGCGTGGATAGGGAACTGAATTCTCTTTTGATTTCCAAGGAGTTGATTTTTCATTTGCTTCAAGGTAAGGGAAGGAAAGACCTCAGTCATCATTGTGATGGTCTGTTCTCATTTCAGCCGAATCTCTGGTGCAGCTGATGGCAGTTTCCATGGACAGTGTTTGTTGTTCTCTAGGTTAGTTCTTGTCCTCTTTTAATTCTCTTATTTTTCATTTTTTAAATTAAGGTATTATATGTGTACATACCTTACCAATGGGCAGGACCTTGAACGTGCTTATGACTCGCAGACTCTGGGCGAAGGGATGTCACTCCCCTGATTGGGTATGTAGAACAGTGACACCATCTGGCCAGCAGACTCCATCTCTTGCTGATTTTGACAAAGCAAACTGCCATGTAAGGAAGTGAGTGCAGCCCCCACTAACATCCAGCAGGCACTGAGGCCCCCGTCCAGCCCTCAAGTACCCGCAGCCTGCCGAGTACCATGCTCTGAGCTGGACGTGGCTCCTCCGTTTGAACTTTCATATGAAACCCCAGCCCTTGTAGCACCTTGATGGTAGCCTCATGAGAACCTGAGCAAGATCACTCAACTAAGCTGTACCTGGATTTCCAACTCACTGAAACAGAGCTAGTAAATGCCTGTTGTTTGAAGCTAATAAGCTTGGGTATTTGTTACTTAACAATAGATAAAGAACACATCCCACAATTTATAGTTCAAGCCTAATCAATCTATAAGGACCAACCAAAATACCTTAGTATCCTTAGGACTCTAATGCCTGTGTCCCTGCTGATCCATTGTGATCAGCGCCACACAATTCATCTCTCAAACTGCACCGGGCCGTTACCATTACCGCCCTGACCGGACTGTGTGTCCTGTACCTCCTGCATCTGAAGCACATGTTGCAAGGGAGAGGTACTCACCGAACACTTGTTATTAACAGCAATGGCAATTGTTATATTCAACAACCTGTGACAGGGTACACTCACTGTAAGCCTGTCTCACCAAATGTTGAGAGCTGTATCAATAACTATAATTAAAATCTGCCTATAGTAAGAAGTATTTGGTTGTGAAAAAACAAACAAAACAAAAACAAACACTCACACTATTATTTGAGATTCCTTTTATTTTTATTAAAACAATACAAATGGAGTTAGTGACAATGACATTTTTCAGATGTTCTCTAGATAAGACAATAAAACTATAAATCAAAGTATTTTCTTGGCTTTTTTCCTGAGAAAATCTGAATAATAAGCTCAGTCTTTAATCAATTGACCCTCTCCAAATTTGATTTTTTCTCTAAGCTTGATGTGCTGAACACAGCAAGGACCTGAAGAATCTATGTGTTTATAAAGGCATTTTAGAGTTCCAAGTTTAAGATGGTTTGCAAAGGAAACACACACAAGAAGGCTCCAAGCCACTTTCTGTCATTAAAACATGCATGGAAGAGAAGGAATAAGATGAGCACATGATTACTTGGAAAGAGACAGCGAGTCAGTCTCCTGTCAGCCAGGCACGGACACTGTCCCTACATCCCCCATGCTCCCAGAGTCCCCTTCCCTCGCAGTTCTGGGACTGAGAGTGTCCACCAGGAAAGACACTGGCAAGAGATGAGGAAGACATCATTCACCGATGGCAGTTAGAACACGTGGCCAGATGTTGAATTCAGAATAGGGTCTCAGGTTGCTCAACAGAACTCTCACCACATGGCTACAGAGTGGAAGCGGGAGGGAGCTTCTAGGGATCCATGAGAAAAGCAGCGGCTCCCGAGAATCTTCTGAGAACCACAGAGGTGGAAGAATTGAGCTAAATTTTCAGGGGCTGCTCACTTTGCTCCCCCCGCAATATTGAACTATGTTTCAATATTTAGAGTCCCTTAGCCGTGGCTCACACTTGTATGTACCCAGGCATATGTCTTTAAATTTTTTCTGCTTGGCACTTGGTGTGTTCTCTAAATGTCAAAACTTGAGTTTTTGCTCAATCTAGAATTTTTCTTTCTTTTAAAAAAAATATATTTTATTGATTTTTCACAGAAAAGAAGGGAGAGGGATAGAGAGCTGGAAACATGGATAAGAGAGAAACATCAACCAGCTGCCTCCTGCATGCCTCCTACTGGGGATGTGACCGCAACCAATGTACATGCTCTTGACCGGAATCGAACATGGGACCTTTCAATGCACAGCTGACGCTCTATCCACAGATAAAGTTCAAACCTCCTACTCTTAAGTGTATTTCTATATTCCGTTGAATCTATATAGTATATGCTTTGGGTGTGGGTTGTGATAGTGCAAAATTATTTGTAATTGATATTATTTTTAATTGTGCTTTTTAACAATACATATTTAATGTCTATTGGCTTGAATTATGCCTTGTGCTATCAGGATGATCATTTCTGACTTTTTTGGCTAATCCTCACCTTAGGACAGTTTCTCCATTGATTTTTTTTAGAAAGAACAGAAAGAGGGGAGGGAGAAGACAGAAACATCGATGTGAGACAAATTGATTGGTTGCTTCCTACACGTGTCCCAACTGAGACTGGTGACCAGCCTGCAACGGAGGTATGTGCCCTTGACTGGAATGGAACCCACGATCTTTCACTCTAACCACTGAGCAAACCAGCGAGGGCTCCATTTTCTTTTAGGTTTAGCCTTTTTGAATCATGAGTTTAGGTTTGTCTCTTGTATCTACACAATGAGCTTATTTGAAGTTTTCCTTCCATATTTTATTAGTATCATCACTTTTTTCTACTTGGTCAGAATAACATATATTTTCTACTTGTCACATCTTTACTTTCATTAAATATATCCATTACTACTATTTGTCCTTTTGCTGAAATTTCCCATTATAATTCTTTAAAAAGAAAAACTCACTGGAAGATATATTTATTGATTTTAAGAGACTGGCTGCCTCCCATATGCACCCTGACTAGGGACTGAACTTTGACCTCCTGGTTCATAAGTCGATGCTCAACCACTGACCCACTCCAGCCTGGCTGAACTCTAATTTTGTTTTTCTATAAACATGTTACTTGAAAGATAGCTTTTCTGGATATAAAGACCTTGATTCACATTCATTTTTTTTCATTAAATCTCTTCAAAATGCAGCTTCACTTTTGTTTTGCCTTGTATACTGCTGTTGAATTTTTATTTATTTATCTTTGTTTCATTTTCCTTAAGCCTCCCAGTCAGTAAGCAGGGAAATGAAGTGTAAGTGTTCTCTACAGCGTAATCCACAGAGTAGGTGTGGCTCGGATGGCTTTATCTGCTGTCTTCATGAGGAGTCTGGATGGAGATAACCAGCATGCTCAAACACCTCTACTTCGGTAAGTAAGGTTTCACGTCCACAGGAAGATGGCATCAGGCCCACTTATCAGATTTTGTTTATCTCACAGGTGTGCAGCAGCACCTTTCCCACCCACATTACCGGACCGAACTGGTCTCACACCTGGTGGCACGTCACCGCCGGCCGTGCACAGCGGCCAGCGCAGCGGGCGTGGGCTCTCTGTCCGTTTCCCTGAGTGCACCTCCCTGCGGGCACAGGGAGGGCAGTGCGTGATCCAGCCCTGGCCTGTGCCCCTGCGCTCCCGTCGCAGCCGCCCCTCTCAGCACTTTGCCTCGCTGACGTTTTTTGGTATTTACCTTACTGGATTGTAGTCATTTTACAGAAATAATTAAAATTATTTTTGTTTAAAATGTTGGCTTTTTTTGAGGATTGAAGTTAAATAATGTGCTCTACCATCTTACTCGGGAATTTACAATCACTTTTTAGAAGTAGCAATAAACACAGCTGTTACAATTTTGACTTGGAAAGTACAAAGCCGTTTAGAAGTTCCTTACCATTTACAAACTAGTGGGTTCTTGTACGTTTGTAGTTCTATGTGGCCAAGGCTTAAATGAGGGGAAGCTAGGAGATTTCAGATACATTATTGAAATTATGCAGCACCAAACATCTGACACTTTTTACAGTACTAAGAAATTAATATTTTTCTCCCTCACCCAACTCCCACAAAAATAACATCCTAGATTTATAGAAAAGTAAAATCAAGAGAATGTTCTGTTGAATATATTACATACAAATACAGACTCGTTATCAGGAATGTAACTTTATTTCCATTAAAAAAGATTCCCCTGCGAAAAGCCTGCACCTGTGAGCAGTAGCAGGCGTATGGACGAAGCACCTCAAGCAAAAGCAGAACCACGTTCTAAAAGGGTGTTACTTGAAAGGATGGCGAACACAGGTTATAAAAACGACATTTCTACAATTTTACTCCTTCACCGTTAGTAAGATGGAGAAAAGGCGTAATACTTATGCACCATGGGTGCTATAATGAACATTCCCACCACCTCACTGGGTTTGCCAAGGGAAAACAGCTGAGGTACAGCTTCCTAATTTAATCTTTAGTGCTTTGTATTATTTCTGGATATTTGGAATCAAAAACAGAAAAGAAAAACCTTCTCATTTTCCTTAGCTGAGAAAAAGCCTGTAGTTCCATGTCCCCAGGAATCCATCCAATACATTCTAGAAGCCCGAGGCCATGATTCATGTTTTGGGATCGGCACAATAACCCTCTCCCTACGGAAGGTTAGGACCACACGTAACAAACGGAGACAGGACAGGATCTGGTGTACATTCGCACACAGGAAGTCTCGAGGCTCGTCTCTGGGTAGCGAGGCTGGCTGGCTGGCTGGCTGGCGAACGGGCCCTCAGGTTTGTAAAAGGCTCGGACGTGCAGAATAACCGCAGTCTCCAGTGTCAGCCACCGGAGCTCCCCGCAGGCGGCTCCTCCAGGCCGTACGGCCACTCCCTGGAAGCCTGAGGAGCGCCCAGTCTCACCGGAGGGAGGGGCGGTAACTGAAGCTCCATTTTTAAACAACAACAAAAGGAAGAACATAAAATACTGGTACAATGAACATTTAGAAAGCACTAAACAGTATGATCCCATGCAGTTGTATGCTTTCACCAGTTTTCCTTAAAAACCACCACCAGTTCCTGGGCTTTTAGATGTGTTTCCTCTGGAAAAATAACCAGCATCCTCCGCACGGTCATGCCGAGGCGGCAGCCGCCGTGCCGGCGACGCGGCGGTGCAGACCTCCGCTGTGCGCAGCCGGCTGTGCCGGCCCGTCCGAGCCTGCGGGACTAGCCCAGGACCGCCTGGGCGACCTCCTTGATGGTGGACGCGGCCTTCTCCAGCTCCTCTTCCGTCTGCTCCACAGTGACCACCACCCTAATGCTGCGAGAAGAGGAAGACACAGACGTCTGCTTTGTGCATCAGCGACCTGAGCCTGCAGCTGCGCTCCCGGCAGAGGTGAGGGGCAGGGCCCTGTCCTCCCGCCCCGTGTCTGACACGGCTGTCCCGGGAGCTCGTGGCTCCTGCCTGACGGGGTGTGTGTCTGCTCGACTGACCTGGCGGGCTCCGCCCAGGGACGCAGGAAACCTGGTCTTTTACACAAACTACTGCTTCCGCAGCCCCAGACCCCAGGCCAAGTTCCAATGCCTCCAGTGAACGGGCTGCAGCGGCTCCTGTCGGTGCCTCAGGAAGCCATGTGGAAGCTCTACACTGTAGGGGTGTCGAACTCAATCAGAGAAGGGGCCAAATCTAAAATCCAGCCTAAATCGCGGGCCGAATGGTTTACTGAACAGTCAGAAACTGTCATTGTGATGGAAACGCAGCGGAGTGCAGTGATGACAGCGCGGTGCGGGCCACATTGCAAGGCCTGGCGGGACGGATTTGGCCCGCGGGCCTTGTGTTTGACACATGTGCTCTACAGTATTTTGCAGGGAGGCAAACATTTTCAAGTTTGCAGAAAACTGAAGACAAATGTCAGCTCCTCAGAGCAGTTCTGCCTGCTGCATCGACTGGACACACCTGCTGAGCTGCACTGGCCGGGCATAGAGCCCAGGGCAGGAAGCCACCGGCCCTGTCCTGGCTCTAGTCACACCTCTGCCGGGCAGCGAGGACGGAGGGCAGGTCCTAAGGGTGCTCGCGGCCTGGGCTAGGGGCCTGCGGCCAGGCAGCCCGTCTCTAGCTCCATGGACGAGGTCTCCGGGGCCATCGTCTCCACGCTCGCTGCCCTTCGCGCTCGGCTCTGCCTCCCTCCTGCACCGGGGCCGCCAGGCCACGTGCTCTACTCCCTTCTAGAAGCCTCCATGCTCACCAGGTCCTCTGCCATATCCCATTTTCTGGGCTCAGCTTCCATGTCAGCTGCTCTCGGAAGCCCGAGTCCTCCCTGGCTACCCGTGACCTCGCTGACCCCATGCCGTGGCCCTGCACACCATGCCTCAGGGTCTCCCTCCTTCCACGGCACCGGACGCGGGCAGAGGGGGGCCGGGTGTTAACCCACGCTGGCTCCTGCCCTGCGATCCCCTCGCGGTTCCCTGGGCTCTGGAAGCGTTTGTGGACACTGCCTCGCACCGCACGCCGTGAGGGGCGGGCAGGCATTTCTCAGTGGTCCTGGGGCTTTTCAGGTAAAATGTGCAAACATCTAGCTTGAAACAGACAACAGCTGGTGTGCTCATTGTAATGACGAAATGCTTCCTTGCTCTGTGATAGCCTTTCAGAAACTTCAGACCATGACACGTCACAGACTCAGAGAAGGAATGAAGTGAGGCACACTTCCACGTCCACCAACCTGGGAGGCGGCAGGCACTTCTCTTCTCGCTCCAGGTAGCGCGCCTGTGTGAGGGCGATGCTCCGGTCCATGCACTGCGGGAAAAGGGCGGGAAGAGGGCAGTCAGCCTTGGCAGGCCTGGCACCCTGCGGCAGGGCCAGTGCCCGGCTCGATGCCCACGGCTGGAGACCGGTGAGAGCAGCAAGAGACCCAGAGCCGGCCACCACGGCAGAGACTTCACTGACATGTGAACGGCCTCAGCCGCTGGCAGGCATTTCAGACGAAGCAGAGCTGGGGCATGGGCAATGCCAGCAAAGCCCGCAGGCGGCCACAAGCCGGACGGGGCCTGGTGCCAGCAGAGCGCCGAGGAAGAGCTTGGGGCTCGGCTGCCTCTGAGCGCCCGCTCCCCGGGCCAGCGCCCGGCCCGCCGGGCGGCTGCACAGCCTGAGGCCGCTCTCCCAGGCCCGCGCACCTGCCGGCAGGTGCACCTGGAACACTCCATCCCTCACGGCGTAAGGATCAGGGGAGGGAGCAGTTACCGGGGTTTCTTCTCTGGGGTGACGACAGTGTTTGCGGTCGAGTCGTACTTATAAAAAGGACACGTGGCGGCACACGGAGTTAGCCTGTGCGTGGCGCCAGGCAGCCGCTGGAGGGCCTTCTGCAAGTGGCAGGGCGGGGTTTCCGAGAGGCAAGGACGGGCACCCGGGATGGCACGGGCTGATCTGCATCCAGAAGTGGATGCCAGCCCGGCTGCCCCCGGCCCGGCTGCCCCCGGCCCGGCTAGTAAGAAGCATCCAACCCACCTGTGTGTGCAGACGGCGTTCTGTCAAGCAACTCGACAAACCCTTTCAGTTCTACAAAGCTAAGGCTCACAGCTCTGATTCTCCCATCCCTCAGGCACTGGGAAGCGAGGGGAGGGGGACCACGGGCTCTGGGGTGGAACCTGTGCGTGGCAGACCGAGCTCCCGAGCCTGCCCCGCTCACTGGGCCGCCAGGCTCTCCGCTAGAGGGTGACCCCACCCCCTCCCGTCCTGTCTCTGCAGGGACAGCTGGAGCTGGGCTCTGGCCGGGCCCGAGGGAAGGCCTGTGTGTGTGTGTGTGTGTGTGTGTGTGACACACACACACACACACACACACACACACACTCGCAAAGACGGGCGCCATGAACCCCAACGCGGTTCCTGACCTGCTCTGCAGAGGCCGCTCCTGCCCAGGAAGGCCCTGTGACCACACTGACCGCCTGGCTTGTCCCTTCAGCTGGTGTGTCAGCGAGAATCTGCTTTGGTATCATGTCTGTATAAACGCAGATCTGGAGGGTGCTGTCACTCCCCATCTGTCCACTCACAAAAACACCGAGGCAGTAACTGGCTGACAGGATGCTGGCCCCTTAAGAGCCTGTCTTTTTCGTGTCTGCAGCTGTCTGACCAGAGGGGACAGGTGAGAGCACCCAGCTCCCTCAGGAGTCCCACGTTCTGTGATGGTGACAGTTTGTGTAAGAGGACTGATCCCAGATGGCCAGATTGCAGGGAGCTGTCCAGGAGCCTGTGGTTCCAGGCGATGTGGTGCACACAGTGAGGACACAGGACATCTGAGCAAGCGGAGCCAGAGCACACACGGGGCCCGTCCTGAGCAGCCCACGGCAGCCGCAGCCATCACAGAGCAGGTGGAGGCACAGCGTGCAGCCGTCTCACTCCCGGTGCTTCCGAAGGGCGTGCAGGCAGGCAGGCTCCGAAGCCGCAGGCCCTGGCACTTCTGGGGGAGCAGGAGGGAGGGGTGTGGGGACAAGGGGCCGCTGAGCAGCAAAGGGCCAGTGTCTTCCCCGGGGACTGCCCTCGGCTAATGGCCGGTGACGGTGGGGAACTGACTCTGACATTAAACACTGACAGCTTGGCCTGGCTGCGAAGTGCTCCGTTACAAGGCCACCACGCCTGCGGCTAGCTCTGCTGGGATTCGCCCTGACAGCCAGCTGTCCAGCGCCGCCAGGCCACGACACACCACGTGGCCCCACCACGTGTAAAAAAGCCCGGTGGTGTGCCTGGTAAGGGTTTTCTGGAAGGTTACTCAGTAGAAGAAGAGTATTTTCATGTGAACACCATGTGGCCCAGAACACAGCACCCTCAGCACAAGCTGGAACCACTCGCTGCGTGAGCTGTCCCCGTCACACACGCCAGACTCCACTGGGCACGAGCACCATTCGATGAGGGGCCACACGCTCCCATCCCCCCCGCCCCGCCCCGGGCACAGAGAGTGAGTGAGGGGCCACACGCCCCCGCCCCGCCCCAGCACAGAGGGTGAGTGAGGGGCCACACGCCCCCGCCCTGCCCCGCCCCGGGCACAGAGAGTGAGTGAGGGGCCACACGCCCCCGCCCCGCCCCCCCCCGGCACAGAGGGTGAGTGAGGGGCCACACGCCCCCGCCCTGCCCCGCCCCGGGCACAGAGAGTGAATGAGGGGCCACACGCTCCCCCCCTCACCCCCCCCGGAACAGAGGGTGAGTGAGGGGCCACACGCTCCCACGCCCCGCCCCCGCCCCGGCACAGAGGGTGCGTGAGGGGCCACAGCCCCCGCCCTGCCCCGCCCGGGCACCGAGGAGTGAGTGAGGGGCCCACGCCCCGCCCCGCCCCGCCCCGGCACAGAGGGTGAGTGAGGGGCTACACACTCCCATCCCCCCCGCCCCCGCCCCCGGGCACAGAGGGTGAGTGAGGGGCCACGCACTCCCATCCCCCCCCCCCCACAGAGGGTGAGTGAGGGGCCACGCACTCCCCCCCCCCCCGCCCCGGGCACAGAGGGTGAGTGAGGGGCCACGCACTCCCATCCCCGGCCCGGACACAGGGAGCTGTGAAATGACAGAGAAGGGTGCTCGGTCAGGGGAGGCGGGGGCAAGCAGAAGCGCTGGGAGGGCTGGCACTCACCTGCCGGACGATCTCCTGCAGCAGCTTGGCGTCCTGCTCCCGGGACCCAGTGCTGGCTTCCAGCTGCAGGTGGAAGGCGGGGGACAGGGCCTCCCCCACCACTCTCAGGCCAGAAATGCTGGAGGGAGACACGCACAGTCAGAGCACACGGTCTGCGTCAGCACACGCCACTCACTGACTTCCGCAGGGTGTGCGGAGGCGGAATTCCGGTTCTGACCGGTCACATGCACGCCCTGGGCAGAGCTCCTGCAGGAGGCGGGGAGGAAGGCCCGGCTGCTGGGCCACATGCCACAGGCTCAGGTGGCCCCTCCAGGTCCTCAGCCCCTCGGCCTCTGCCCTGCTGTTTCCTCTCCTCACCTGCTCTCTCCCACCCTCCGGTGCCAGTGCTGGTTGCACCTGGTCTCAGCTGTCACTCCCACTGCTGGGAGGGGCTGCACCATCATGCTCTACAGCAAGCATGTCAAACTTGTGATTCATAGCCCGCATGCAGCCCACAACGAATATTTTTGTGGCCCAGTCAATATAACACTATGTAAGGTTTTAATAAAAATTTTGTAACTTAATTTTTACAAAATCCTGTTATACATAATCCTAAATAATGAGGTAATATGCAAATTGACCATCACTCCAACGCACAAGATTGCCACCTCATGTGGTCAAAGATGGCCGCTTCCATGTGGACACAAGATGGCTGCCACAAGATGGCCAGCAGAGGAGGGCAGTTAGGGGTGACTGGGCTGGCAGAGGGCAGTTGAGGGCAACCAGGCTTGCTGGGGAGGGCAGTTAGGTGTGACTGGGCCTGCAGGGGAGGACAGTTGGGGGTAACGAGGCCTGTAGGGGAGGACAGGTAGGGGCAACCAGGCTAGCAGGGGAGGGCAGTTAGGGGCGACCAGGCCAGTAGGGGAGGGCAGTTAGAGGCAAACGGGCCAGCATGGGAGGGCAGTTAGGGTGATCAGGCTGGCAAAAGAGGGCAGTTAGGTGTGACTGGACCAGCAGGGGAGGGCAGTTGGGGGCAACCAGGCCTCTAGGGGAGCAGTTAGGCGTCAATCAGGCTGGCAGGAGAGTGGGTATGAGGTGATTAGGTTGGTAGGCAGAAGCAGTTAGGGGCAATCAGGCAGGCAGGCAGGCAGGGAAGCGGTTGGGAGCCAGCAGTCCTGGTGGGATTGGGCCTAAACAGGCAGCTGGACATCCCTCAAGGGGTCCCAGACTGGAGACGGTGCAGGCTGGGCTGAGGGACACCCCTCCTTCCCACCCCCTGTGCATGAATTTCGTGCACCAGGCATCTAGTTATTAAAAACGAACTACAATGTTCACTAATGACTGATTATAAATCGTGTTGCATTCATTTCCCTTACACACTTATGCACAGGTGCACCATTTCTCTCCATTAATACTAGCAGCAAATATTTTAGCAGCCGATGGCCACGTATTAGTCTTAGATTGACTTGGTTGGTGTACGCAACAGGAAATATTTCACTTTCAGAGAGCAAGAAAAATAGATTTGTGTTATGCTTATTAATTTGTGCAGTTATTCAGTGTCTGGTTCAAGAAAAAATATTAAATTTTATAAAAATGTTATTTTGTTAATGAGTACTCATTTATTTCAGCCCTTTGTATTCAGCATGTCTCTATTGAAATAAACCTACATTTCTATGAAGATCGAAGCTTTTGTTGTTTTGTGGCCACATAAGCTTACGCCTTATTTGGCCCATGGTAGCCTGAGTTTGACATGCACCATCTACACTGCTGTCTCCTTCCCTCCACCGACAGCATCACCACTGGTAACACTGGGTCCTTGCTTATCACCTAACTCTCTAGTCTGTATCTCATGAATTAGAGGAAGAACTGCTGACATTGACAATGGTACAATCTGAATAGAGCAATGTTTTTGATTGAAAAGTGCCCTTCTTATTTGCATGTTTAATTTTAAATTCTACTCGAGTGAACACTTATGTTCTTCCTTCTTAGGAGACCTAACTCTCAGGGAGAAAGGTTCTAAGGGTGATTTTGATCCATCTCCCAGCACCCAATGGTAATGCATGTTTATGTGACACTAGAGACCCGGTGCATGAACTTCACAGACAGGGGAGGAGGACTCTCAGCCAGGCCTGCACCCTCTTGCAATCCAGGATCCCTCGGGGGAAGTCCGACTCTGGTTTAGTCCCCAGAGATCAGGCCTATGCTGGTACTTAGACATCCCTCTTGCAATTCGGGACTGCTGGCTCCTAACCGCTCGCCTGCCTGATCGCCCCTAACCACTCTGCCTGCCTGCTGGCCTGATAGCCCCTAACCGCTCGCCTGCCTGATTGCCCCTAACCACTCTGCCTGCCTGCTGGCCTGATAGCCCCTAACCGCTCGCCTGCCTGATTGCCCCTAACCACTCTGCCTGCCTGCTGGCCTGATAGCCCCTAACCGCTCGCCTGCCTGATTGCCCCAACTGCCTCTGCCTTGGCCCGCACCGCTGCCGTCAGGAAGGAGGTCTGGAATGACAGCCAGAAGGTCATTCAGCTATCCGGTCTAATTAGCATATTACATTTTTATTATTATAGATCAGGCTAAGCACCTTGGATTGCTGTTTTATTTTGTTTCACCCAAAAAGACTTACCCTTCCCCCAGAAAAAAGTGAGCACAGAGAGAGCCTGTAGCATGCCTGATTCCTTAGACAGATTAGGACTCCACAACTTTTACTAACAGCCTGTCAGCCACACGCCAAGCAGCATGTGTCCTGCTGGAAGGAACCTTGCTGGCCTCAAACCTCCCTGCACATTATTAAGCTGCCTCCTTTCTTTGAATGTCACGTGCCCCGCTATGACCTCTCAATAAGCCAGGCTGCAAACTGGAACCATGGAGTCTTAGAATCCAGGCCTTCTGGAGTATGGAGAATCTTCTAGATTGGTTTTATTAATGTACAAGCAAAACAATATGCATTCAAAATCCATATCCTATGTAAACTCCAGATGTGTTAAACTTGCACGTAAGAATGTACCAACTGTCTTTAGGTCACGTACTCAGGGGAGTCTTTAAAAAGTTGCTTTTCAAATAGTATTTCATATTAATTAAAAGGCCTGGGCTTTCTGTAATACACACAGGACACCTACAGCCCACCTGAGCCCGTGCTTCAAACAAAGGGGCTCGCTCCCCCAGCGGGGGGCAGGCTGCTGGGAGAAGGAAACGCAAGGCCCTCCCTCTGGCCGCCAGACTGAAGAGCAGGTGAAAGTGTAATAAAAACCAAATGGACACAGAATTATAGCTTGAGGTCAGAAGCTTAAAAGCTTGTTTCAAGGCCCATTAAACTTTTTAAATAAAATTCTGGAAAGCATATTAGACAAATGTTTAAATACTAAGCACTGGCTGGGTGCCAGGACAGAGCAGTCAACCATTCAGATGAGGCTCTTTGCATGTCCCCAGCCTGGAGAGGGCGGGACACAGAGTCTGCTGGAACACAGGCGCTCCTGTCCCAGCATCAGCCAAGCACAGGCTGCTGCCTTCTCCCAGGCCAGCCTCTGAGTGAGGAGGAGGAGGGTCACGGATTAGAGGGGACTCACAAAATTACGTGAAGTGACCCTGATCACTGCCTTAGATACTGTTTATCTTTACTTGAAAATAGTAAATAAAACCGATAACCTAAATGCAAGAAGCACCGAAACCGGTTTGGCTCAGTGGATAAAGAGTCGGCCTGTGGACTGAAAGGTCCCAGGTTTGATTCTGGTAAAGGGCATGTACCTTTGTCGCGGGCACATCCCCAAAGGGGGGTGTGCAAGAGGCAGCTGATCGATGTTTCTCTCTCATTGATGTTTTTAACTCTCTATCCCTCTCCCTTCCTCTCTGTAAAAAGTCAATAAAATATATTAAAAAATAAATAAATAAATGCAAGAAGCTAAAAAAAGGGTAAGAATAAATTCCAACAAGGCAAAAAAACAAGAAATAAATTTTTTTTTTAAAAAAAGGGAAATGTGATAAAAACAGAAACAAAATTAAAAGATAATGAGCTAGGCAAATTTTTAGAAAGTTTACCATAAAAATTTGAAATGCAAAAGAAAGAAAAGTGAAGTATAATGAGGAAATAATGCAGACAGAGAGATAACCACGGATTATATAATACAAAGGCCCAAGGCTGGAAAACCTCGAGGGGAGAGGAGAGCCTGGCCTACACAGTGGCTTCAAAACGCAGGAAAGGTGGAAACGTTGCTCCTTCACTTACTGAGGCTACCAGAACACTGATTCCTGGGTTATATAAGGTTGGTACAAAAAGATAATAAGATTATTTATTTACTTATTTAAATTATCAGGGTGACATTAGTTAATAAAATTAAATGTTTCAAGCATACAGTTCTATAAAACATCATTTATATATTGTACTAGAGGCCCGGTGCACAAAATTCGTGCACTGGGTGGGTGTCCCTCAGTGCAGCCCCCCTCTCACAGCAGGGATGCCCTACTGACGGCTTAGGCCCGCTTCCTGCAGGGAATGGGCTTAAGCCACAGTCTGGGTGGGTCCGTGGGTCCTCCGGGACCTTGCTCCCAGGGCAGGTGGCAGGTGTGCCTGCCTGCAAACCCCTGGCGGGAGTGGCCTCGGAGCTGGGCGGTGCTGAGGCTGGGGGCTGGCTAGGAGCCCACCCCTAGCCCTGGTGTGTGGTGTGTGTCTGCTGGGGCTGGGGTCGTGCTCTGAGCTGGTTGTTACGTCCCAGCCTAATTTGCATTTATCTCTTATAAATTAAAGGATTGTTTTCTCCACCCCAAGTCAAGTCTCCTTCTACCACCACTAATCTCCTCTTTACTCCCTTCTACCTACCCCCACCCCCTTTCCCTCTGTCACTTTGCTGATGTCTGTGTCCACAAGTCTTTCCTTTTTTTTTTTTTTTTGCTTAACCCCTTCACCCTTCTCACCCGGTCCCCTATTCCCTACCCCTTGACAGCTGTCAGTCTGTACTCTGTATCTATGAGTCTGTCTCCACTTTGTTAGTTTATTTTGTTCTTTAGATTCACATATAAGTGAGATCATATGGTACTTGTCTTTCTCTAACTGGGCTATTTCACTGAGCATAATATTCCCAGGTCCATTTAAATTATAATTATGGTTATAAAAATTCAAATTAAAATACAAGCTAACTAAATATATTAGCATAGAAACTTTTTGTAATCGAGTAGGAGTTTAGTCAGAAATGCAAGGGTGACCCAACATCAGAAACTATAACATGGGGAAGCCTTGGGACAGAGCGGGGCTGTATGGAAGGAGGCAAAGAGGGAGGAAAAGGAGACAACTGTAATATTGTCAACAACTATATATATGTGTGTGTGTGTGTGTGTGTATCAGTGCAATTTAGCATGAGATAAATTTATAATTTTTAAAAAATCTCCAAATCTAGAAATAATTTGATAAAGGCCACACTCCAAAACCCTATTATATGTTGTTTTATACTGAATTAAAAAAATACTTTTATATTGGGAATGAGAAGGATGTTTGCTACGACTGCATGTTCAGTAGACTATTACGAGACCCAGAGCAATGCAATAAAAGAAAAATAATTAAAATTATTTAAGGATTAAGAAGAGAAAAACATTAGAGCAGATAATGGGATTTCTATGTGCGTATCACAAAACACTGAAAAGAACTATTGGAATGTACGATCAGTTAGAGAAAAGAACTACTGCTGAATGTAAGATTAGTTAAGAGAAAACAAGAACATTCTCGTAAGTCAGCAATAACCAGAAAAGATAGCCCTGGCCAGTTGGCTCAGTGGATAGTGTCAGCCTGCTGACTGAAGGGTCCCAGGCTCGATTCCAGTCAAGGGCATGTACCTTGGTTGCAGGCTCCTCCTGGCCTGGGCCCTGGTCAGGGTGTGTGCAGGAGGCAGCCAATCGACGTGTTTCTCTCACATAGATATTTCTCTCTGTCTTTCCCTCTCTCTTCCACTTTCTAAAAATCAATGGAAAAATATTTTCAGGTGAGAATTAAAAAGAAAATATAAAAGAAAAAACAATCCTATTCATAATAGAAATAAAACCTATAGGATACCCACAAATAACCTTTAAAGGCCCATAAAAGAGCTTTAAAGAAAAATTTTAAATTTCCCTTAAAGACACAAAGGAAAATTCAAATAAGTGGATACAAATTCACTCCACATTCATCAAAACATTTAATGCAATTACAATTAAAGTGCTACTAATATTTTTGGTGAAATTTGAACTTATCGCAAAACTTATATGGTGATCTGTGCTCATTTTGACAGCACATGTGCCAAAAGCTATAGATGATAAAAACAGATGGCATTTAAAACAGTCTAAGGATTGAACAAGTAAACCAATAAGGAGAAAAACGGCTAAAAGCCAGATCCAGCTGCAGCTGGGAAAGTGGTTAAGTGACAGAGACCAACCGGTGAAGAAAGAGGTGGTGTTTTCATAAACTGACTGTGCTAGCATCAGAACAGACTTCCTTCCCTTCCCTCGTTTTCTTCCTCCAGGCACCATCCTCTTTCTGAACAGCCCAGCTCCTCAAAACTGTCATGCGACTGTCCCACCTCTCCTTCCCGGTCTCTCCGGACCTGCTTCTGCTGCTCCCGACACTGCTCAGCCTCAGGCAGAGACAGGCCCAGCTCGCAGCAGCGGGACACGTGGCCGGCTCCACTGTCTTCACTAGACTCCCCCCCTTCTTTCTCAATCTCCTGGCTCCTGACCGCTTCACACAGAAATGCCGGAAATACCGTTTACATGCAATTGACCCGAGGCCTCTCGCTTCAACTTGAGCGGCTACATCTCCCAGACGTCTGATGGCATTTTGAGCTTAACACAGCCACAGTGACCGTGCCCAGCACACTGGCCGTGCCCAACACACTGGCCCAGCAATTCGAACCATCTTGCTGACTAGCAAGGCTGTCTAGTCACTCAGACCAGAAACCTTAAGCTCAAGCGTGAGCCTTCTCTCTCTCTCTCTCACTCACTGGAATATGAACTTCTGGCAAATCCAGCTTCAAACTCCATCCAAAATCCACTCTGGTAGGAAAGGCAAAGTCACCACACCACCTCCTCACTGGTCTCCTGGCCTCAGCACTGCCACCAGCTATTAGCTGCTTCTTCACTCAGCACAGAGTGGCTTTGCTGAGATGCCTCTCAGTCATGTCCTGCCACCTCTGGTCAGTGCCAGGCCATGGCTTCCTATCGGAGCCGGGCCCGTCACGGCCGCTGAGCCCTGCATGCTCTGGCCTTTCTCCCCTCTTGCCACACCGGCGTCCTCGCTGTTTTGTCTCCTGTTACCTCTAAATACCGGGTACCTGTGTGATGCTCCCACACCTGCCTTACTGCGGGTCGGTCTGAGGCAACTGTGGAGTCCTCCACGCAGAACTACTCAGTGGTAAGCCCTGGACGCGAGACCTGGAGCCCTAAGAGGGGGACACATGGGAGATGCAAACCTGGGAGCTGCCCACAGAGGGGTCGCGTGGGACTCCAGGATGGAAGAACACAGTCTTCCAAGGAGGAGCCGGAGGAAAGGGGCGCAGAGGCTGCTGGATGCAGCAACGAGGCAGTGAGCGTGGCCTCCACAGGCACCGTCTGGGAGAAGCACGAGAGCAGAGGCAGACTCAGCAGTTTCCAGTGCAGACGAGGGCAAGGACGTGGAGAAGGTGAGCTCCGGAGAGGCGGAGCGGGCTAGCTGCCGGAGGCGAGGGGAGTCAGGGAGAGGAATGCGCTCCCAGAGAGGACAGTGTAGCTGAGTGCTCATCACACGACCCTGGTCGGGGAGACCCACGACACAGAGGAGGCACCACCAAAGCCGCCCCCGTCTTCAGAAGAGAGCTGTGACATTGCTGTGGCTATTAACACGAGGGGAGACGGTTCAGAAGTGCACAGGTTTGTTAGGAGACGAGGGAGTTCCAGGGAGAGCAGGAGGCGAGGCTGCAGCTCAGCGCAGACGGACAGAGGGTTAAACACACGGAGAGATGCAAGGTGGGCAAGGGCTGGGGAAAGTGGATGCCAGCCATGCAAACCAAGCACAGCATCCTGCGGCAGTGGGGTGGCACCTGCTCCTGGCTGACGGCAACGCACGGCGGGCTGTGCTGTACGTTCACACGCCGTCACCCGCGTGCCTGGAAGCGTCCACTCCGTGCCTCCCCGCCATACATGAGGCAGGAATGCCGTGTACTCAGGCAGACACACCCAGACTGGATCACTTCTGCCCTCCTCTACCGGCTCAGCTGTGAGCTGCTCGCTCTTCACCTGCCTTTTCTTTTACAAAAGTTTCTAGTTTCCATAGAGAGGCCTCACATCACCAAAGGGCAGGCTTCACCTTAGAAAAGGCAGAAATGCAGGCCCCGGGCTGTAAGATCGTTTTCTGGAAGACCAGAGAACCGCCTGAAACTCACCGACCTCCACTCTCTCACCTGAGGAATCTTGAAGTCCTGTTGTGTCGTGAAAACCAACAAACCTCTCATCAGGTTCACTCCAGTGCCACTGGGTTCTTTTTCTCACAGTGGCTTGGAATACAACTTAGTAATCCTAAGGCCCTGGAAGTCCGAGAGTCACCAATGAGCAGCGCGCGCCGGCCTCTTGCTCCTGCAGGCATGGCGTGCCCAGAGCGCATGCTGACCGTCCTGGTGGCTGCACGCTAGGGCATGCGCTGTTTTGATCTTGTGCACTGATAGCATATCCTATTATTGAGCGTCTATCAATATAGAAGAACTATCATGATTCCTTAACATAACAACACAGCGGCTGCTCTGGAACCGAGGTTTTGGTTTCTTAGTTGCAATTCAGTCAAACTGACCCGAGCCTATCAAATATACCCAAACTAAAGAGACGACATTGAACATTTTCATTAACCGTTTATATGTAGAGAAGGTAAACTTTAAGCTGGCTGAAACACAGAAAACTTACCCTTGTAAAGCTTTATGAATTCGTTTGCACTTTTCCTTCAACACTGCAAAAATACCTGGTGAAAAAAACATTCTTTAGTGCAGCTGACCCTCGGACAATGCAAGGTTTAGAAAATCTGAGTTAAAATTTTTTATCATATATATATTTTACTTCATTTCAGAGAGAGAGAGAGAGAGAGAGAGAGAGAGAGAGAGAGAGAGAGAGGGAGAGAGGGGGAGAGAGAGAGAGAGAGAGAGAGGGAGGGAGGGAGGGGGAGGGAGAGGGAGAGAGAGAGAGAGAGAGAGAAACATCAATGATGAGAGAGAACCATTGATTGGCTGCCTCCTGCACACCCTACCCTCACCAAGAATCAAGCCTGCAACTTGGGCATGTGCCCTGACTGGAAATTGAACCTTAACCTCTTGGTTCATAGACTGACACTCAACCATTGAGCCACACTGGCCAGGCTGAGTTGCTGAGTTTAACTTCTGACTTTTAAAAACTTAAGTTGTCCCTTGGCATTTGTGGGGAATACCAAAATCCGCAGATGCGTATGACATGGCACAGATCAATGCACACAGTAGGACCTCAGCATCCTCAAATCTATGGAAGATGGTGCAGGTATTCATTGAAAAACATTGCATATACATAGACCTGGGAAGTTCAAACCTGTGTTGTCTAAGGGTCAAATACATATTTGGAAAACCTGGTATTACTAATCCAAAAATATTTTTTAGAGATCCATTTCAAGCCCTAGTCAGTTTGGCTCAGTGGATAGAGCGTCGGCCTGCAGACTGAAGGGTCCCAGGTTTGATTCTGGCACATGATTGGGTTGTGGGCTTGATTCCCAGTGAGGGGCATGCAGGAGGCAGCCAATCAATGATTCTCTCTCATCATTGATGTTTCTATCTCTCTCTCCCTCTCCCTTCCTCTCTGAAATCAATAAAAGATATATATATAAAAAGATCCATTTCAAGTTCATCAATTTAAAATGCTGCAAATCCTTCCATATACTGACAACACACAGACAGGCGGCCAGAAATGCTTCTGGAGGCCCAAGATTTCATCTCGGCACACTGATACCTCTCCATCCTTGTTAGCAAATCTGGGATGACGTTTTCCACAGCAAAACGATGGCTCTTGTTATCAAAATTCTACAAATAATTTGGCTAATGATAAAAGGGTACCAAGACATTTGTTACAGAAATATCAAACTGGTTAATAGTCTGGTAAAAAATAGAGGCTGCTTGTAATAATGTTTATGATCTTTTCCTTGATATTTTCCATTTCCTCAAGAAAAAAATTGAAAATCTAAACTATCCGAGCAGGAGGCTGGAGGGCCAGGCCACCTGCCAGGCAGGTGTGGGAAGTACCCAGAAAACACTCATGGTGCCCTATTCTCTGAAATAAAAACCAAAGTTGAAAATTTAGAAACTTAGAAAATTTGAAATTCAAGTAATACCAGGTTATGCCTATTTCTCAAATTCTGATTCAGGCTCTGATGAGGAGGCACTATCACAGCCAAAGCCACATTTTAAATTCAGTTGATTTTAATGGTCGTAAACTAGATACCAACTAATTTCTAAAAAAAAAAAAAAAAGAAAGAAACTAACGACACTGGCCAGCACCACACCTGCACGCCCGCTCCAGCTCAGCTCCAGGACGCAGACGCGGGAGGCGCTGCCTGCTCCGCGCTGCAGCCAGGCGGAGAGTGAGACTCAGCCCAGAGCTGTCGGCACATCGTCTCCTCTCGCTAATTCCTCCAAAACGTGCAGGGGGCCATGGCTAATGTAACCTGCAGTCTGACTTCCTGGGTTCGAAGATTATACCTGGATTCTCTTCCATGATGTTGAGGGCCTCAATGGCAGCAGCAGCTAACAAGGGCGGCAACGAGGCAGAGAAGCAGTATCCCTGACCGGAAAGGCGCTGAGAAGAAACAAGTTAAAAACATAAATACCCACTCCTCCTCTCTCTCCCCTTTGCCCCTCCCTTCCACTGTCTCTAAACATCAATGGAGAAAATAGCCTCAGGTGAGGATTAACAAAACAAAACAATTGTGATGAACTCTGCACGGAATTTAGTTCCCTGCAAGTCACACTGCGGTGACCCCGGAGCAGGGGCGTTTCGGAAAGCACCTACCTGGTGGTCGATTACGAAAGAGCGGCCACAGCAGAAGCCCCCAATGGAAGCAAGTGCGTTCTCCATGTTGGCACTGATGAGATCAATATCATCGATCTGCCAGAAAAGAGGGACCTTGTCAATTACTCGCCAATCAAAACCAGACCAATTTCAAGCCTAGCGACCTTTCAGCACTGATCATTCCAACACCCGGGCTCTACAAGCTACGCATGTGAAAACAGGTGAACACACAACCTGTCACTGAAAGAACAGATGTTCAGAGCACTCCCGCAGGTGCCTCACTTTATCCCTGTGCCACTTTATCATCGGGACAATTTTTACACGACGTGAGGCGAATGCAACTGTCTCTGGAGCAGACACGGAACCGACCCAGTGCTGCCGTGTGAACCCAGCACAGACTGATGCGCCGTGAGCTGGCAGCCTGCAGGGACCGGCCCTCGGGCTCTGTGAGGAGACAGACACCAGAGCGGCGGTGCTGCCCAGGCAAGCACTGCCTGAGCCGTGAACCTGCCCAGCAGGATGGGACTGCGAGTTTCCGGTGTGAGGCATGTTCCAAAAACTGAGAACTTACATTGATTCCAAAATGCTCAGTGACTCCTCGGCCATGCTCCCCCAGCACTCCAAACGAAAGGCTCTCCTCCAGAAAGATCCTGGCTTTGTACTTGTATTTTAACTGAACCTAAATGTGAATAAGAAGGAGCTTTACAAGTCTGATCAGGAAGAACAAATTACCCTAACATGACAAAGAGAAAACGCAGCAGCCGCTCCTCAGCACAGGCGGATTCTTATCTGGGAATGCCCACTTACTGAATGGAGCTGGAACCCAACAGTCCTCAGCCCAGGGCAGGCACCTGGCAGCGGTGCCAGCTGCGCCGCACAGGAGCGCTTCAGCGCACAGTAAGTACGTGTTCTTTGCACAGTCTATTCCTGGCCACATTTCCCTATGTCTTGTGCTTCTGTTGGTGACCCTGCTGTCTAAGTGGTCCCCGGCGTAGTGCTGAGTGCTGTTCTTAAGCGAGAGGCTGTGAAGTGCCTCGTGGAGAAAACACGTGAGCTAGACGAGTCTCCTCCAGGCGGGAGTCACAGCGCTGTCGGCTCTGAGCTCATCGCTGGTGAATCAACACTATCAATCAAAGAGGGTGTCTTTAAACAGAACACTCAAAATGAGGCTGTGACTCAAGGACTCAGGAGTGGGTGGTGACTAGAGGCTCGCTGAAAACTACCTGTGTCTGCCCAGGAGCACCTCAGTCTGTACCTCAGCCTCTGCAGCAGGCTTCTAGAACCTAAGTACCGTGAACAGCGACAATCAACTGAACTTGTGATGCTTCAAAGGTTTCCTTCACCTCAATAGTACACACAGCATTGCTAATGTCTAAAGAAGCGCAAGGTGAACTGTTAGGAGTATAATCATGTAACCTACCTGTTAAATACAGGTCTGACCACACAAAAGCTCCTGGGAAACTTCTCTCTCCCTCCCTCAGTGGCATGTGTTTAATTTTGGATCCATGTCATTTTTTAATGCAGAAAACCTTTTCATTATGTTTTCCCCTCTACTTTCAGGCTTAGAAGAAAGTCCTTTCCCATCAAGGTTAGATGCTTATTGATCTGCATGTTCTTCTAAGCATTTCGTGTCTTTATAGTTTTGTTTACACTGTGGGAAGCTGGACATGTGCATGTTTGTTTATAGGTTGTTTTTTAAAAAACTTTCTTTATTAAGTTATTACATATGTCCTTAGCCCCCGTTACTCCCCCCACATTCATGCCCTCACCCCCGTTGTCTGTGTCCATTCATTAGGTGTTTATAGGTTTTCTTTTTATCCCCTAGAGATTAATTACCCCATATGATGTGTACAGGATCAACTTCACAACTGAATTGAAATACAGCGATTATTAACTACTAAATCTTTATATATATGATTTGAGAAGTTTGACGTCTCAAATATTCCCATGACTCATGTATTTTGATTACTAAAGATTTAATTTTGAGATCTTTTTGCACTGTCTGGCCAGTGTGGCTCAATTGGGTGAGCATCATCCCATGCACCAGGAAATCACGGGTTCGATTCTCAGTCAGGGCACATGCCCAGGTTATGGGTTTGACCCCTCAATAAGGAATGTGTAGGAGGCAGCTGATCGATATTTCTATCTCCCTCTCACCCCCCCCTCAAATCAATAAAAATAGATTTAAATAAAAGATCATTTTACATTAAAACTACAGGAATAATGTGTAAAATGTCACAAGTCTCAGATAATTTATTGATTTTTATTTTAAAAAATATTTATATTGGTTTTTAGAGAAAGAGGAAGGGGGAGGAAAGAAGGGAAGAGGGGGGGAGAGAGAGAGAGAGACAGAGATAGATAAGATAGATAGAAAGAGAGAGAGAAATATCAATTGGTTGCCTTTTGCACGTGGCCTGACCGGGTATCAAATAGGCAGGCATGTGCCCTGACCAGAAATTAAACGAGAATCTTATAGTGCACAGGATGACTTGATGCCCAACCAACTCGGCCACTCTGGCCTGGATGATAATTTTTTAATCCAGATTTTATTGGCTAATCTTGCCAATATCAAATTCGGGGAGGGGGGGGCACTAAGCTTTCTGCTAGATTTTAATTAAAAATTAATAAACTTATTTGGGGAGAATTATATCTTTTCAACACTTTTCCATTCATTAATATGAATGAAAAAGTTTCTAAAAATCGTATTTTAGAGTATATCCTATATAATAAAAGACTAATATGCAAATATACCGAACGGTGGTGGAACCACCGAACATCCAGTCGTTATGACATGCACTGACCTGACCCCCAGGAGGCACGCATGGAGCATGGTGGGTGTTGGCTGCGGTGGGATGGTAGAGCAAGTGAGAGGGAGCGCCAGACCAAGGCAGGGCATCGGTCGCTGTCATCAGGACAAGCCTCTGGTAGTTACTGAAAATTCTTTGCTCCTGCACACCGCGGTCTCGCCCGGCACTTGCACCTGCTGCCAGCACCAGAGCTGCCACTCACACCCACTGCCAGCACCAGTCCTGATCACCCCTCAGGGCTTCTCCATCTCCCCCTGCTCCTGAGGGATGACTGGGGCCGGCAGTCGCCTCATGCACCGGCTGCCAGTGCTGGAGCCGTCACTCCCACCAGTTGCTGGCACCTGGCACGGGTCCCAATCACTCAGCGCCATCAGCATGTGTGAGCAGCGGCTGCCGGCCCTGATTGCCCAGAGGCCTTCTCCACGCCCCCCCCCCCCCCCCCCCCGGGTGATCAGGGCAGCAGCTACTGCTCATACCCAATCATTTCATGCCAACAACGGGTGCACTCTGGGCTGTGACCATCAGTGCATGGAGCGGCAGTAGTGTGAGCGGGGTTGCTGGCAGAGAGGGGGCCAGGAGCTGTGGCATGAAAGGCCAGGCAGGGGCGTGGAGGATGGGCTGAAACCCATCCGTGCCCACTGCAGCCTCATGGTCCAGGTTCTTTCAAGGTGTACAAATTCATGCACTAGGCTACTAGTTTAATAATATCATGACATACTGGTACGTAAATAAACAAATCCGTGAAAGAGGCATCCCACAATCAAGCCCTATTTTGTGTCCTGTAACCTTTCTGTACTCAGATCTGGCACATCCTGACCTCACATGCACTTGTGGTCTTGCTTCTCTGCTGGGCTGACACTTGCCCGTCCACAATGCTCTGGTATCGTAGTCCTACAACAGACGTTCTAACCTGTTCTGGCCCCCGGTCCCCCTCATTATTCTATCAGTCTTTGATACTTATGAAAACAAGGAGAGGAAATAAAGACAAATCTTTCATTAATATTTAGGATGTATCTGTATTTCCTCAAAACATAGTGAAAACTTTAAAAAATAAGCTATGAAACCCTTATTCAAAATGATGGACTCATAGATTCAAATTTCCATGGCCAAATGCAAGGGTGGTTCAACACGGGAAAATCAATCAATGTAATAGACCAATAGCACAGTACAGCCAGTTCCTCAGTAAGTGAAACATGAAACTACCATGTGATCTAGCAATTATACGGCTACACATATAGACACACATCCTGAAAGCGGATGCAAACAAGTAGTTGTACACAACTGTTCACAGCAGCACTATTCACAATGGCCAGAAGGCGGAAGCAACCCAAATACTCATCAGTAGAAAAACAAAATGCAGTGTACTCATGGACTGCAGTACTACTTAGCACTACGGAGGAATGAAGTGCTGGTCCATGCCACAAGTGGAAGGACTAGAGCATGGAGCTCAGGGAACGAAGCCACACACCAAGGTCATGTGGTGAATAGTTCCCCCTTCAGCTTAGTTTACATTTCATGGTTTCATCACCCAACTGTGGTCTGAAAAGATTAACGGGAAAATCCCGGGAATTCAATAAACAGTCTGTGCCTTCCTGAGTAGTGCGGTGAAGCCTCACACCACCCTCCCCCTGCCAGGACATGCACCATCCTTTGTCCAGATGACACCAGACAGAGCCGCCATCTGCCAGCGGATCCACAGGAAAGGTGTCGCATGCTTGTGCCCTGCAGTGCTAGAGCAGTGGTGCTGACTATCCTGACAGGCCAAAGAAAACGGTAAAGGCTTCCTTTATGTGAAAAAGTGAAAGCTCTTGACTTCAGAAAAAAAAAATTCATATGCTTAGATTACTAAGATCGATGACTTTCTATCCATGAATTTGTGAAGAAAGAAAAAGATGCCTTAGCCAGTTTGGTTCAGTGGATAGGGCATCAGACCACAGACTGAAAGGTCCCGGGTTCGATTCCAGTCAAGGGCAAATACCTCAGTTTCAGGCTTCTCCCTGGCCTTGAGGATTTAAAAGAAAGAAATCCATGCTAGTTTTGCTATTGCATGTCAAACTGCAAAACTTATGGCCACAGTGTTATCACTCAGAATCGAAGGCCAGAAAAAGAGCTTCACAAATAAAAAAAAGCTAAAGGAGTTCATCACCGCCAAACCAGAATTATATGAATTGCTGAAGGGGATTCTCTATGAAGAGGAAGAAAATAAAGATAAAAAATATGAACAACAGGCGAAACCGGTTTGGCTCAATGGATAGAGCGTCGGCTTGGGTCCTGGGTTCGATTCCAGTCAAGGGCATGTATCTTGGTTGCGGGCATATCCCCAGTAGGGGGTGTGCAAGAGACAGCTGATCGATGACTCTCTCTCATCGATGTTTCTAACTCTCTCTCTCTCTCTCTCTCTCTCCCTTCCTCTCTGCACAAAATCAATAAAATATATTTTAAAAAAAATTATGAACAACAAATACATAACTATCAACAAGTGAATCTAAAAACCAAGGAAATTAAAAAATCTGATAATCCGAGGTATGGAAGGGGAGTGAACTGACGATTCTCAGGGAAAAGGGGAGTGGGAGGTGCGGGAAGAGACTGAACATAAACTGTGCACCTATGGATGAGGACAATGGGGGGTGGGGAAAGGGCAGAGGGTGGGGTGGGAACCTGGTGGGGGGGAGCAACAAAGGGGGGAAAAAATGAGGAACATTTGTAATAATATGAACAATAAAGATTTATTAAAAAAATACAAAAACTAAAAATGATGCTGGAAGTTGAAAAAAAAAAAAGCAGTTAATTTTATGTTATATAAATTTCACCTCAATTTAAAAGTATCTTAATAGTCATGATTTCTAAAAACAGTATTTTTCTTTCTATGTTAAAAAGCTAAGTTTTACAAAATACATACCATATAATTTTATTTAGACAAGGTGCTACACAAAAGGCAAAACTATAGGAACAAAAAGTAGATCAATGGTGGCCCTGGGCCAGGTTTGGGTGTACTGACCAGGGATGAGAGAACATTCCAGAGTGACAGATCTGTTCTGTATCTCAACTATGGGGGCAGTGATAGGAGTGTATACATCTGTCAAAACTTAAGACTGTACATTTTCTCTGTATTTTATTGTATTATATGTCAACTAGAGGCCCGGTGCACAGATTCATGCACATTGAAAGGCAATTAATTAGAAGAAATACTTTATTTATTTTTAAGTATTTTTATTGATTTTTTAAAAAAATATATTTTATTGATTTTTTTTAGAGAGAGAGGGATTGAGTTAGAAACATCGATGAGAGAGAGTCATCGATCAGCTGCCTCTTGCACACCCCCTACCGGGGATGTGCCCGCAACCAAGGTACATGCCCTTGACCGGAATCGAACCCGGGACCTCTCAGTCTGCAGACCGACGCTCTACCACTGAGCCAAACCGGTTTCGGCTGATTTTTTTTTTACAGAAAGGAAGGGAGAGGGATAGAGAGTTAGAAACATTAATGAGAGAGAAACATTGATCAGCTGCCTCCTGCACACCTCTCACTGGGGATGTGCCTGCAACCAAGGTACATGCCCCGGACCGGAATCGAACTCGGGACACCTTAGTCTGCAGGCCAATACTCTATCCACTGAGCCAAACCAGTTAGGTCAGAAGAAATATTTTAGAGGCTGGAGAGGGAACAAGGGAGGTTGGCTGGCCAGGGAGGGACCATAAGAGGTAGGCTCCAGGGCATGTTTTGCCCGTCTCACCCAGTCCCGATTGGCTGGACCCCAGCAAGCTAACCTACGGTTGAAGCATCTGCCCCCGGTGGTCAGTGCAAGTCATAGCAACTGGTCAACAAATGGTCAGACACTTAGCATGTTAGGCTTTTATCATATAGGATTACACCTTGCCGAAACCGGTTTGGCTCAGAGGATAGAGTGTCGGTCTGTGGACTGAAAGGTCCCAGGTTCGATTCCGGTCAAGGGCATGTACCTTGGTTGTGGGCACATCCCCAGTAGGGGGTGTGCAAGAGGCAGCTGATCGATGATTCTCTCTCATCGATGTTTCTAACTCTCTATCCCTCTCTCTTCCTCTCTGTAAAAAAATGAATAAAATAGCCCTAGCCAGCTTGGCTCAGTGGATAGAGCATCAGCCTGTGGACTGAAGGGTCCCAGGTTCAATTCTGGCCAAGGGCACATGCCTGGGTTTTGGGCTCGATCCCCAGTGGGGGTGTGCAGGAGGCGGCCCATCAATGATTCTCTCTTATTGATGTTTCTATCTCTCTCTCCTTCTCCCTTCCTCTCTGAAATCAATCAACAAATATATATTTTTTAAAATGAATAAAATATATATAAATATAAAAAAATATATAGGATTACACCTTGATGAAGTTGGTTTTAAAAATGTGAGTCTAGATCATTCTTTAAAGGCCAGGGAAGGCATTCCATGCTCCTCTAGTTCCCTGGTATGATTAGAGTGTGCTTCTGACCTTATTGTGCACAGCAGTGTGGATGTTATACATTAAAAGTGGTCGTTAAAAAAAGGCAAATTGCCAAAGAGTCCAAATACTAGGATAATGAAGTCATGGCTGCTTACCAATTCTGGAAGGGGACAAATGGTGCCAGTATTCATGTACAGGCCTTCGACTACAATGAAACGTCTAGTTACACGTGCCTTGCGAGGATTCTTTAAAAGAAAAACAACAGACATTTAAAATTTTAGTAACTCCAAATACAAACATCTATTATAAGACTTATTCATCACATTTGAGATCATGCTGTTATGAGAGAAAGAACAATGCTTTCTCCTCTCAGACATGTTTTTCAGCTCCTGCAATCAACTAGGAGACCTGACACACACATACACACACACATTTGGTTGAGGCACTTTGAGACTATTATTATACAAACAAATCCCTCCACGCTCAGAATGACTGGGAAGGTGCCCAGGGAACTTTCTGGGATGACAGGATGTTTGATGTCATGATAGAGGCCATGATACTTGGGTTATATGGTTCTAATCATTGGTAAAAAGGCTAGGGTTTGTGCATTGCAGTTCTGTAAATTTTACCTAAAATATAAACTATAACAGCGGGCTCATGGCTGGTGAGCACAGCAGCTCTGTGGCAGTGCTAAGCTGTCAGTCGGACATCCCCCAAGGGCTCCCGGACTACAAGAGGGTGCAGGTTGGGTTGAGGGACCTCGGCCCCAAATTTTGTGCACCAGGCCTCTAGTATCTATATAAATTATATAAATTACATTATTCAAATCAGGATTTTACTGCAATAATTATAGGACATGGATTTTATGATATTACTAGAGGCCCAGTGGATGGATTCAAGCACATTGAAAGGAAATTAATTAGAAGGTGGCCGGCAGGACAGGGCGAGATGGGCCAGACACACCCTGGAGCCAACCTTCTGTGGTCCCTGCCAGGCCGGTTGCACCTGGGGTGGCACTGGGACACGAAGAGCATCTGCAGAGTGAGCAGGGTCCCTCTGGCAGGTGGAGTCCCTTGGCCTGGCATGTGGGAATTGGGCCAAAAACGACAGTCTAACATCCCTTGAAGGGTCCCGTAGTGCAAGAGGGCACTATGCAAAGCTGCCGTCTCAGCAGCTCCTGCGTTGAGCATCCGCCCCCATGGTCAGTGTGCGGCCAGCTGGGCAGTTGCTTAGGCTTTTATATATGGACTAGAGGCCTAGTGCATGACATTCCTGCTCTGAAGGGAGGATGTCCTTCAGCCCGGCCTGCGCCCTCTCACAGTTCGGGAGCCCTTGGGGGATGTCTGCCTGTCGGCTTAGGCCCGCTCCCCATGGAGTGGGCTTAAGCCGTCAGTTGGACATTCTTAGCACTGCCACATCCTTAGCACTGCTGCGCTTGCCACCCGTGAGACAGGCTCAGGGCTACTGGATAAGCGGCACTCCCCTTGTGGGAGCACACTGACCACCAGGGGGTAGCTCTTGTGTTGACATCTGCCCCCTAGTGGTCCGTGCACATCATAGTGACCGGTCGTTCTGTCATTGGGTCAATTTGCATATTAACTTTTTATTATATAGGATGTTATGAGCATTTCTACATTACTTAATATTATTTAAAACATGATTTTAGGGGAGAAATAATATTCTACTTTATAGGTTTACCATAAACTAACAATTCTCCCAATGTCCCACTTAGGCTGTTTCGCTTATTTTGCTTTTTTACGTCGAATCGTAAATATCTTTTAATTTCTGACACCACTTCTGAGTATCTTCTAACAACAGTACCCACATCCCAGTCCCAAGGATACAGCTACTTAAGAATACTGGAATGTAGCTGAAGCCGGTTTGGCTCAGTGGTAGAGCGTTGGTCTGTGGACTGAAGGGTCCCAGGTTCAATTCCGGTCAAGGGCATGTACATTGGTTGCGGGCACATCCCCGGTGGGGGGTGTGCAAGAGGCAGCTGGTCGATGTTTCTCTCTCATCAATGTTTCTAGCTCTCTATCTCTCTCCCTTCCTCTCTGTAAAAAAAAATCAATAAAAATATATTAAAAAAAAAGAAAAAGAATACTGGAATGTAACTGTGTCTAAAGGCTGTGCCAATGAAACCCCCATGGTTCCCAGAGGGCTTTCTGTCTCATCACATTTATCTGTGTTGATGCTGATTATTATGATTAAAATATGTTCCCTAATTGGGCGAGCCAAAACTGCTATCCTAATTTCTCTAATTATTAGTGAAGCCAGATTATTATTTTTCACATGCTCAGTTATTTGTTATTTCTTCCATAAAATGCTGTTTTTATCTACTATCCTTGATTTACACTGAGTGGCTAGATTATTATGATCTCTGAATGCATAATAATCTGGCCACTCAGTGTATATCCGACCTATATAATAAAAGGCTAATATGCAAATTGTCCCTTCGACCAGGAGTTTGACCAGCAGGTAGACTGGCTAACCGCCCATGTCCCTTTCCCCTGGCCAGGCTGGTAGGACCCCACCCATGCATGAATTCATGTACCAGGCCTCTAATATATATACAATATATGTATATACTGAGTAGCCAGATTATTATGTGTTCAGAGATCATAATAATCTGGCCACTCAGTGTATTTATTTAAAATATATTTTATTGATTTTTTTACAGAGAGGAAGAGAGAGGGATAGAGTTAGAAACATCGATGAGAAAGAATCATCTATCAGCTGCCTCTTGCACACCCCCTACCAGGGATGTGCTGCAACCAAGGTTCATGCCCTTGATTGGAATCGAACCTGGGACCTTCCAGTCCACAGGCCGACGCTCTATCCACTGAGCCAAACCGTTTCAGCTATTTATTTATTTTTAAAGAACATGTGACAACAGAACACTGTAGGAAAAGGAACAAGAAACATCTTGGGAAATTAACACCACCCCCAAAAAATTTGATCCATACCTGGACTACACAATAATATTTTAATTCAGTTTCAAAGGAAAGATAAGCATCTAAGTAGAAAATATTAAAACTTTTAATATTTATATAAAACTGAAAAAGAATCATCTTTAAAAATAAAAATGTAGCCAAAACCGGTTTGGCTCAGTGGACAGAGCGTCGGTCTGCGGACTGAAAGGTCCCAGGTTCGATTCCGGTCAATGGCATGTACCGTGTTTCCCTAAAAATAAGACCTACTTACAGGTTTCCTTATGAGTGAAATATAAGGCATCCCCCCCCCCCCCCAAAATAAGGCCCCCCCAGGCTCTGTCTCAGAATGAAAATTAATTTACTGTAAACTGGTCGCTAGGGTCGCCCTGACAACCAGTGATTTTACACAGAGTCCTGACGTCACTGCTGTGTGGAGGCGGAGCGGAGGTCTGAGTGAGCGGTGAGTGTGGGGCGGGAGAGAGGAGGAGACTTTCGCAGATGCATGTAGAAGAGCAGGAGATTAGAGCAGACGGGACGCCACAAAGGTGGTGAGTGCTGGTCTGTCTCTGGTGACACTACCTGATGCTCATGGCCGCCCTCATGATGACTGAAGGTTCTCAGTCAGTGGCAGACCCTGCTCCAGCCCAGATCCAGGCCCCAGCAAGCCCAGTGACAGTCCCCAGGCAGGCCCCAGGGGGTAAATGTCTGATAAAGGGGTAGAGGGGATGTCTGGTGAAGGTGTTCAGTGGCACAGGGGTGGGGGGAGGGGGATCACTTAAAATGACACAGGAGGACCAGAGGGGGCAATCAAAATGACACAGGAGGATCAAAAGGGGTTACTAAAATGGTAATTCCCCGCTCTGATTCTCCTGTGCCATTTTGATTCCCCACTCTGATCCCGTTTCATTCTGTGATTCCCCTCCCCCCACCTTGATACCCCAATTCCTTTTTTTTACCCCTAGAAATGAGCACAAAAAGAAAAAGCTACTCCGTAGAGTACAAGAAAGGAATCATGGAAGACTCTTGGTGCCAAAATCTTACTGCTTTCTGCAAAGAGAAGATGTTGAGTATCCGATTGGTCCGAAAATGGCGAGCAGAGTATGGTAACCTCATCGAACAAGTGGACAAGGGAAATGCTAAAAAGCGCAAGTGTGGATCAGGTCGGCAACCATTATTTTCTGAGCTGGAAGACCTGATCTGTGAGTGGGTTGTTGACAGGAGAGCAAAGGATTTGGTTGTGAATAGGGCTCAGGTTCAAGAATTTGCCCTTGCAATAGCACCAGTTTGACATAGCCCCCGAAGACTTCAAAGCATCACAACACTGGCTGGATAATTTCCTTCAGTGAAGTGAGCTGTCTTTAAGAAGATCTACCGGTACAACATTGTTTAGGTTGGAAGATACTCAAGTTATTAAGCGAGAACTTGCATTCAAGTCCTTTATTGATAATGCTGACTTCTCTAAATATAATCTTTCCAACATGATTGCTATGGATGGAACTGCAGTGTTTATGGGCCAATCATCTCAAACAACAATTGAACAGCGGTGTGCTCCTTAGTGTGCATTCCCTCCACTGCTTACGAAAGTGCACGTGTTTCCTGTATTTTGGCAATTCATCTGGATGGCACTAAAATCCCACCTTTAATCATTTCTAAGGGCAAGAAGGAAAAGATTGAACGTGTTTTGGGCGTTTTTATTTTTGAAACTGAAAAAGCCTGGGCCACACAAGCAGTTATAAGGAAGTGGGTCCATTTAATGCTGCCGCTTGTTATGCGAGGGAGCCAAAGAGGTCTGCTAGTCTGGGATGCAGCCAGCACTCACCGCCCTAAAGACATGAAGACATTTCTTCACGAAAGAAAAATAGATCAGATAATGGTTCCCACAGGAATGATGGCCTATCTCCACACTCTTGATATTGCAATAAACAAGCCATTCAAAGACAATTTGAGCATGGAAATTAATGAGTACATTGAAAATAGAATGGAAAGAAATCAGCGTGGAAACTTTGTGAAACCTAAACTGCAAGAAGTTGTGACTTGGGTGAAGAATTCATGGGAGAAAATCACTGACAGTTGCATTGCAAATGCACTGCGAGCAGGCCACCTTGACAAGAAGTACTCATTTAAAGACAGTGCTATTGCTAAACATGAGAGATTCGGTCCACTGATTCTGAAAGAAATGGAGTCACAAGAAATTCACCAGGAAATTCAGAAATTGGATTGTTATGATGATGATCCAGAAGATGACATGATTGTCATTGAATAAATGAGTAAATTCTTGATACTGTAGGATTCACGGTTTGTGTTGACAACTACCATACTACCGTACCGTATACAAGTAATAAATTTCCTTTATTTTCATTTAACAATAAATGTGTACCGCATTCTTCTTCATGGAAAAATAAGTCATCCCCTGAAAATAAGACTTAGCGCATCTTTGGGAGCAAAAACTAATATATGACACTGTCTTATTTTCGGGGAAACAGGGTACCTTGGTTGCGGGCACATCCCCAGTGAGGGGTGTGCAGGAGGCAGCTGGTCGATGATTCTCTCTCATCAATGTTTCTAACTTTCTATCCCTCTCCCTTCCTCTCTGTAAAAAAAAAAATCAATTAAAAATGTATTTTTAAAATAAAAATGTAGACTAATTTAGAAAACCTACTCTTGGCAGGAAAATTTAATATAAATTAATTAGTAAAAACTATAACATGGAAATACATTTCAAAATAATTTTATTTTTTGTTATTATAAAAAAAGTTCACAAATAATATAAATCTTGTAAAACACACACACACTCACACACTTGAATATCATGTTTTCCAGATTTGTATAATACTAATTTGGCAAAATAAACTCTATACGGAAGACTGGTCATTGGCCATATTCCCCAAGGCAATGTTCTTCAGTCTGGTAGCATGCTATTACTAGGGAGAACAAAGGACATCTTTCATATTCCTAGTCAGAACAAGGGACATCTCTTTACGGTTTGTAGAAAGTAATCAATGGCATAGTTCCAATGTTAAGATTTCCTAGTTGTGCCCAGCTGGCGTGGCCCGGTGGCTGAGGGTTCACCTATGAACCAGGTGGTCACGGTTCCAATCCTGGTCAGGGCACATGCCAGGCTTGTGGGCTCGATCCGCAGTGGGGCCTGCAGACAGTGGGTCAATGATTCTCTCTCATCACTGATATGTCTCACTCTCCCTCTCTCTTCCTCTCTGAAATCACTAAAAAGTATATTAAAAAAGAGATTTCCTAGTTGTATAGCTACAATGCAAGCATGACAGGAAGTGTTGTTTTTTTTAAAATATATATTTTATTGAATTTTTACAGAGAGGAAGGGAGAGGGTTAAAGAGCTAGAAACATCAATGAGAGAGAAACATTGACCAGCTGCCTCCTGCACATCCTCCACCGGGGATGTGTCTGCAACCAAGATACATGCCCTTGACTGGAATCGAACCTGGAACCCTTCAGTCCGCAGGCTGACCCTCTATACAATGAGCCAAACCAGTTTCAGCACAGAGGAAGGTTATCAAAGAGTCTACGCACTCAGAACTGCTGTCTCCTAACAAAGACAACAGAATCATATAGGAATAATGCAAATATGAAAAAACAAACAAACAAAACACACAAAAATTGGCCCTAACCAGCTCAGGTGTCGAACTCAATCAGAGAAGGGGCCAAAATCTAAAATCCAGCCTAAATCGCGGGCCGAATGGTTTACTGAACAGTCATAAACTGTCATTGTGATGGAAACGCAGCGGAGTGCAGTGATGACAGCGCAGTGCGGGCCACATTGCAAGGCCTGGCGGGATGGATTTGGCCCGCGGGCCTTGTGTTTGACACATGTGGTAGAGCGTCGGCCTGCGGACTCAAGGGTCTAAGGTTCGATTTAGATCAAGGGCATGTACCTTGGTTGTGGGCACATCCCCAGTAGGAAGTGTGCAGGAGGCAGCTGATTGGTATTTCTCTCTCATCAATGTTTCTAATTCTCTATCCCTCTCTTTTCCTCTCTGTAAAAAAATCAATAAAATATATTAAAAAAACAAACAAAAAATTGATACAAAAATGAGGAATGTGATGGTCATTTTTTAGCAGTGACTCTAATGAATGAGCTGTACTGGAACAGTCCTCTTGGAAGTGACACTGAGACAGGGCTGTGGTGACCAGGTTCCTAGTCCGGTCTGCACATAACGGTTCCCGTAGAATTGCAGACCAGAGCTACCTTCTGCATGCACATCATCAGAAGAAAATAAATGATAATTCTAATAGTGATGCTCTCAACACATTCCCTCTGCCACACTCCCATGGAACATGGAGGAACAAGACCATTCCCTCAAGGGGAAGGAAAGGGTAAATGGGCGGTAAGAAAGCAGGAAACCCATTTTGGGGCTGTTGTTCCTCACAGGTAGCAGCTGCTAGAGGCACATGACAGTGGGGTGGGGATTAAGAGTCTCACTTTGTTCATAAATTTGTAAATTCAGATCTGACATTATTGTTTCTTCCACTTGATTCTGATATGAATTAATGTCTGTGAACAAACGAGTGAACCTGGAGCTATTCCTGCAGAGCTGAAAATACACACCCCACCCACAGCGCAGGCTGCTTTTCTCTTCTTTTAAAAAAAATTTAATATTTTTATTGCTTTCAGAGGAAGGGAGGGAGAGGCAGAAAAGAAGGGCTGAGGAGGGGGCGGGGAGAAAAACCAATGATGAGACATTGATTGGCTGCCTCCTACACATTCCCTCCTGGGGATCGACCCTGCAACCCTGGCATGTGCCCTGGACGGAACAGAACCTGGGACCTGCCAGTCCGCAGGTCGACACCCTATCCACTGAGCCAAACCCGCTCGGCTCTCTCTCCTTTTAGAAAGCAGCCTAATTAATTACCTTCCCCAAATTTGCCTTATATAATTTTGGCAATGATGAAGCAATTACATCAGACTTGGCTCTATAACATGAAGTACTTAATAAGCAGGAACATCCTTAATATCCAAATGTAATCCACAGGCACGTTTTCATGACAAATTATCATTTCATATCTAATTTAGCTGGTTAGGAGAGTACAAAAGAACTGAGTAATTTTCTTCAAAAAAATCCTACCTTTTGATCTTCGATCTCTTGCTCTTTTAGCAGTCGCTCCAGGTCAGCCATATCATTATGCTCAAATAACTTAATGTTACTACGTGATGCCTGTAATCCTTTCTGAATAGCAAAGCAGGCAGCTCTATCTCTGTAAGGAAGAGGACAACCAAAGGGGTTTAAAGGGTCTTGGCACGTGATAGGTGACCTACATTCACTTGTTAATGTGAACGTGACAAATAAATAAAGCACACCTGAGCATGTATACATCACTGTTTGCACTTCCCCCTGCAAGCACTTCCCACGAGGCTATATCCTGGTTCTGTTCTAGGCAGCACTCCTCTGTATTTCCCCTGCGTCAGCATGCTAAGGCCTTGCTCTCAGCAATGCTCTCCAGAAACACATGAACACTCGTGCACTGCACCACAGCGGCTCCTCTGGTTGGAATACCACCAGCAAGAGAAGCAATCTTGCAGAGCTGACTATGCACATAACCAGGTAGAACTCTGAATTTTGCAGATTAAACTTGCATGAGATCTTCTAAACTGGGCTCATTAAGAGGAAATATATATATATTTAAATATTTTATTGATTTTTTACAGCAAGGGAGAGGGATAGAGAGCTAGAAACATCCATGAGAGAGAAACATCAATCAGCTGCCTCCTGTAGACCCCCCACTGGGGATGTGCCCGCAACCAAGGTACATGCCCCCGACCGGAATTGAACCCGGGACCCTTCAGTCTGCAGGCCAACGCTCTATCCACTGAGCCAAACCGGTTTCGGCTGCTTTAGTGTCTTATAATTGACAACTACAGATCTTTTACTTCCTTGTTTTTATCAGTTCCAGCAGTTTTATTGTGGGATCTTTAGGATTCCTTGCATACAGTATCATGCCAACTGCAAATAATGACAGGTTTACTTCTTGCTTTCCAGTTGGATGTCTTTTATTTCTTCTTCTTACCGATCGCTGTGGCTAGACTTCCAGTGCTATGTGAATACGAGTGGTGAGAGCATACATCCCTGTCTTGTTCCCGATCTTAAGGGAAATGCTTTTAGTTTGTCCCCATTGAGTATGATGTTGGCTGTGTGCCATCAACAGCCTTTATTATGTTGCGATATGTTCCCTCTGTTTGTACTTTGCTGAGAGTTTTTATCCTAAATGTGTGCTGGATTTTGTTAAATGCTTTTTCTGCATCTATTGATATGATTACATGACTTTTATTCTACATTGTTTATATAGTTTTTTCACAATTGATTTGTGGATATTGTACAAACCTTGCATCCCAGGAATAAATCCTACTTGATCAAGGTGTATGATCTTTTTTACATATTGCTGGATTTGTTTGCTAATATTTTGTTGAAGATTTTAGCATCTATGTTCATCTACAGGGATCTTGGCCTATAATTTTCTGTCCGTGTAGTATCTTCATCTGGTTTTGGAGTTAGGATACGCTGGCCAACGTCAGCCACTGCCAGTGTTCTACCTGGGCCACTCAGCGCAAGCTATAACATGATCTGCAGGTGGATGCACCTCCTGGCAGGCCCCAGAGCCAGTAAACTCAGTGAACACCTTCAGACCATGTCAAAGCACCACCACCCAACCACCTCCACAAGCAACACACTTAAGAGGCAGACTCAGAGGGCATCAAAGCCCTGCTAAGTCAGTCCTGTTCTGTGCAGTGTTGGGTCCCTGCACAGCTGATCCTCCACAGTAGTCGGAGGTCGGTGGTCCTTGCAGATGACTGGGCTGAAGTTAAATCCCTGCCACTGAAGTGCCCACAGCAATCAAGGCTCGACTATAAGAGAGAGGTGCATACAGCTCACATGGGGGAGAAAAGGTGGCACACCTTGAGTGCCGGTTTGTGACCAGGGAGGCTGTGCAACTGAGCCTACAGAACACCTACTACATTACCGGGGTCACTCTACCAAGCCTGGGAGAGGTAGCAGCTCTACCTAATACACAGAAACAAACACAAGAGGCTGCCAACTGAGGACACAGGAAACATGTCCCAAATACAACAGAGCAAAACTCCAGGAGAAAAACTAGAAAAATCAAGACAAGTAACCTACTAGATGCAGAGTTCAAAACACTGCTTCTAAGGATGCTCAATGAACTTAGTGAGAAAATAAACAGCATAAAAAAGGAACAGTCAGGCCTAGCTTGGCGTGACTCAGTGACTAAGCGTTGACAGATGAACCAGGAGATCAGTTTGATTTCCAGTCAGGGCACATACACCAGTTGCAGGTTCAATCCTTAGGGGGAGTTGTGCAGGGAGCAGCCAATCAATGATTCTCTCTCATCATTGATTTTTCTGTCTTTCTCTCTCTCTCCTTTCCTCTCTGAAATCAATCAAAATATTTTTAAAAAAGGACCAGTGAGAAATAAAGGAGACACTAACTGAAATGAAGAGTAAATTTACACAGAGTCAACTGTACAGTATATAAAGCTAACAATCAAATCAGCAATTTGGAATATAAAGAAGCAAAAAAAACCCACGCAATCAGAATGCAAAAAAAGAAAAAAATCTAAAAAAAGTGAGGATAGTGTAAGGAGCCTCTGGGACAACTTTAAGCGCATACCAACAATCACATCATGGGGATGCTGGAAGGAGAAGCAAGCAAGCAAAAAACTAAAAACCTATTTGAATATATAATGAGAGAAAACTTCCCTACCTTGGGGAATGAAATAGACATACAACTCCAGGAAGCATTCAGAATTGAAAAGCAGAGCTTCACAGATAGAAAAAAGCAAAAAGAGTTCATCACCACCAAACTAGTAATATGAAATGCTAAAGAAAAAGGGGGGAAAAAAGATAAAGGGCAGGCCAGCTGGCCCCCACCCATGCACCAGGCCTCTATCGTATATAATAAAAGGATAATATGCAAATTGACCCTAAAGGCAGAACGACTGCTGGACCAGTCACTATGAGACGCACTGACCACATCTTGGTCCTTTTTCCCGGCCAGCAGGCTGCAGTCACCTGATGGCCACCCGCTATGGGGGCAGGGTCAGCAAGCAGGCAGGAACGGCTGACCTCTCAGTCCCTTCCCCTGGCCATCAGGCACTGATCACCTGATAGCGAACAGGGAACTGGGGGTAGGTGGCAGCGGGGCTTGTGACAAGGCTGGCCTTGAGCAGCTGAGGAAGATGGCCCTGACCACAGGCCAGGCCTAGGGACCATACACATGCACAAATTTTGTGCCCTGGGCCTCTAGTATAAACAATAGAGTTGTAATAAATACGTATTTATCAACAATTGAATCTGTCCTAGCAGGTTTGGCTCAGTGGACGAGTGTCAGACTGTGGACTGAAGGGTCCCAGGTCTGATTCTGGTCAAGAGCACATGCCAGGGTTGCAGGCTTGGTTCACATTAGCGGGCACGTAGGAGGCAGCCGATCAATGACTCCTGCTCATCACTGATGTTTCTCTCTCTCACTCCCTCTCCCTTCCTCTCTGAAATGAATAAAAATATATAAAACAAATAAACAAACAAACAAAAAACCCACAACTGAATCTTAAAAAAAAATTATAAACAAGCAGAACAGAAATAGACTCATACAACTGTAATTTAAAAATTTAAAAATGACTAAAAAAAGTAAAGTGACTCCTTAAAAACTTCTTCTATTGATTACATTTTAAACAATAGTATTTTGATGGATTGACAAATAAAATATATTATAAATAGACTTCATCTTAAAACTTAAATTACAAATAGTGGGTAGGTTGGGAGGGACGTGGGAGCAGCAACATGGAAGATCCTTCTGGTGATGGACGTGTTCTGTGTTTTAACTTTATCGCTGTCAATAGCCTAGTGTGAAACTCTATTGTATTGTATAGTTTGCAAGAGGTGACCACTGGGAAAAACTAGGTAAAAGGCACAAAGAATCTCTGTAGTATTTCTTCAAAGTGTATGTAAGTCCAAACTTATCTTAATAAGAATACTAGAGGCCCGGTGCACGAAATTCATGCATGGGAGGGGGTGTACCTCAGGCCAGCCTGAATCTTCTCCAATCTGGGATCCTGGTGGGCCTAAACAGGCAGTTAGACATCCCTCTCACAATCCAGACTGCTGGCTCCCAACTGCTCGCCTGCCTGCTTGCCTGATTGCCCCTAACCACTTCCACCTGCCAGCCTGATCGATACCTAACTGCTTCCTTGCCGGCCTGATTGCCTCTAACTGCCTCCCCTGCTGGCCTGGTCACCCCCCACTGCCCTCCCTTGCTGGCCCAGTCATCCCTAACTGCCCTCCCTACCGGTCTAGTCGCCCCCAACTGCCCTTCCCTGCAGGCCTGGTCAACCCCAACTGCCTTCTCCTATAGGCCTGGTCCCCCCTCCCCCACCAATTGACCTCCTCTGCTGGCCTGGTTGCCCCTAACTTCTCTACCCTGATGGCCTGGTCGCCCTCAACTGCCTTCCCCTGCAGGCAACTGGTTCCCCCAGCTGCCATGGTCTTCTCCAACTGCCCTCTCCTGCAGGCCTCGGCCCACCCCTCAACTGTTCTCCCCTGCAGGCCTGGGTTCCCCCCACCTCCCAACTGTCCTCCCCTACAGGCCTAGTCACCCCCAACTGCCCTCCCTTGCAGGCCTAGTTCCTCCCAACTGCCCTCCCCTGCTGGCCTGATAACCCACAACTGCCCTCCCCTGCTGGCCATCTTGTGTCCAGATGGGGCAGCCATTTTTGTGTTGGAGTGATGGTCAATTTGCATATTACCTCTTTATTATATAGGATTGCATTAAAAAAATGTGAACATATACTTAGTAGAGTGACCAGGAAAGGCTAAAATAACATAAACAACCACCGTGCTGAGACCTCCTATTGACAAGGCTTTATCCCTGTTTACCAAAAAAAGGAAGAAAATGAAGCTTTGGACACACTGTCTATGCATAATGAATTTATCAAAAATAACTTACTAAACACCATTTTTACCTACAATGTTCCTACCAAATTTCTAGCAAAATATTTAAAGTAATAAGAATAAATTAAGCCCTCACCGGTTTGGCTCAGTGGATAGAGCATTGGCCTGCAGACTGAGAGGTCCCAGGTACCATTCCGGTCAAGGGCATGTACGTGGGTTGCAGGCACATCCCTAGTAGGATGTGTGCAGGAGGCAGTTGATCAATGTTTCTAACTCTCTATCTCTCTCACTTCCTCTCTGTTAAAATTCAATAAAATATATATTTTTTTAAAAAGAGTAAATTAAATTGTCTCATGACTGACTAGAAACTGAAGTTCAAAGACACTGGGTGAAACATTTGGAAGTGAATTTAATCTAGTTTTCCTAGCAGTTAAAACCAAAAGGATAATATAGTACTTAATTTGTGACAAAGGAAGAATACAAACTCAGCTGTAACTGTACACTTTTTCTGGATTTAAAACTCAAAGTCTACAGTGAGGTTCTTGTATGAGGTGATACTGGGTGACATGAAGTTGTCTGTAACTGTTTTTACTAAAAACCAGAAATACTTTAAATCAGCAGCTCTCAAGTCTGTGATGAGTCTTACTGGATTTTTTAACTTTGTGCAAAAAGTTAGTGAAATATTCATTCTCATAACTACAGGGGGAAACACTAGCGTAGGCCACGTGCTGGAGAGCGAGCTGCCAGGCTGCTGCAGGGTGGCGGGAAGAATGAACAGTGTGTGGCCCACAGCGCCCGGCAGAGCCTGTGCTGCGCCCGGTGCTGGGCTTGCTGCACTAGCAGCAGTTCCAACAGTGAGTGAGAAGCAGGAGGAGGCTGCAGGCCCAGGGAGGGCCAGTTGCTGTGACCTCTCTTTTGAGCTCCAGCCTCCATTCATTCATTCACTGAACTGGTATTTACTGAGCACTATGAAAAGGCAATTAATTAACTACTAACACTGTGTATTCTGTGAGTCTGAGGCAAGATGATCAGAAAGCAGAGGGTGTGTGCTACACATGCCTGAGGACATGAGGAGGCCTGATGGGCTGAGAGTGCCATGTGGTCTTAGATTCACAAGGCAGACCTCTGTAGCTTTAAGTTCTTCTCCACACGCAGCATGGGTCCTGACCTGGCCTGAGAGGTTGGGAAGACTTTCCTGCAGAAGTGATGGTATGTGCAGGGTGAGCAGGCATTAAACAGGAGATAAGGAACAATATACTTAGCATGTGAGAGGAAACTAGTATCTAAGGCTGGTGAGGCTACAGCAGGACAACCTGAGGGAAAATGGCACAAAATAAGTTTAAAAAAGTAGTCTAGAACATGCAAAATCAAAATAAAGACCTGGATCATTATTTCAGGAACAATGGGAGCTCTGACATAATCAGATTTGCATTAAAAAAAATTATTCTGGCAATGGTGTTGAGAGAGAGATAGAGAGAGAGCGCGTGCAAAAGTAAATTTGCTTTTCTTTTTTTAAAATATATTTAAAAATTTTTTAAAGTATATTTTTTATTTCAGAGAGACGAGAGGGGAAGAGAATCATTGATCAGCTGCCTCTTGAACATCCCCCCCGCCCCTAGGGGACTGAGTTTACAACCCGGACATATACCCTGACTAGGAATTGAACCATGATCTCCTAGTTCATGGGTCTATGCTCCACCACTGAGCCATAATGACTGGGTGTAAGTTTGTGGTTTTTTTTAAAATTCAAAGTAAATTTGTTTCTAAAATTCAAAGGGTCATTTAATTGTCCACTCAAAAGATGACAGAGGCGTGGGTTGGAGGCTTCTAGAAGGTTCAGGCAGCTGCCTGTGCTATGCTGGCCATACCCACTTCTCTCTGTCCTTTCCATAGCAAAGAGCAACCCCTCTAGTATACATGCATGAGGGGGCAGATTTGCGCACGGGAAGTGAAGGAAGCCCTCAGCGCATGGCTTCTGTGTTCTTAACATGTCATGAAGCAAGACAACAGAGACAAGGGTTGAGCTGGGTACAGAGAAGCGGAGTCTCCCAGGGTTACCACATGGCCACAGAGCTGTGCGGGAAAGGAGATGGTTGGCCTCCTCCAGGCTTCTCGATAGCAACAAACAAAACCGTAACGAAAGAGAGGTGACTGCCCAAACCTTTAGGTACCCATCCTTCTAATGACTCTCACACATTCTGTAGAATTACTTGGCTGGGGTGTCTATGAATTTCTTTTAAAAAAAATCTTATTATTTTAGGCAGCTATCCTCTAACAAAAGACTTTTCTAGGAAGGTGAATATTATTTTCAAAGGCATTTGATTAGAAAAGGAGGTAAAGGTTACTCACACAAACACAATGTCCCCTCTCTTAGAGTAAGCGGGAATAGCACTGGCTATGGTGGCAAATCCATACGAGTAGATAATGGCTTCTTCTGTCTTCATAAATTTTGCAAGGCGGTCTTCCAAATCCAAGTGCACATCTATTTCAATAATAAAAAATCAAATGGTCAAACTGTCATATAACTCTTTTTCACTAACTAAAGAATAAAAATAATCAGTTTAGTTATTAATACTGACACCTTTTGGCCAAAATGTAATTGTTTTCAAGTGATAAGTTACATAAACTCTATTGAGATAATTCTGGGCCAATAATACTTCTAAAAACTGTGAACTGAATCAGCTACTCACCTGTCCGTACAATGTGGCTCCATCTTGGGGTTCTGCTTTGATACCACTCTAGCCCAAGAATTCAAGGCCCAGTCACTTTACCAGCTTTGAAGTCCTTCGATCAATGCACGATATTCATTACTAATGCCTTCCTGCCTTTTAGCAGAAGTACCAAACCAAGCACCAAGACAACTGTTAACCAGCTTCTATCTCAATAACACAAAAGGAGGAGGGGAGAGAACGCGAGTCATCTAAAAAGAAGCCCATGCACTCTGCACCAGACAGTGGCTTTGAGCAGTGGTCACTCCACAGCGGTGCCAGTACCGAACTACGGCACCTGCCATCACTCTGCTTTTTAAGTGTACTGGGGAACTAAATTTAAAGTACCAAGAGAAAGGGGTCCTTTTACAGAGAGAGCTTAGGAAGAATGCTGATGTAATAATAGGAACAAATGTTGGTTAAACTTTTTTTCCTTCTTACATCATGGTTCCCTTTAGCCTTTCACCTCTCCAGGCTGAGCATGAGGCTGCAGGCCCGGGTGGAAGAACCAGTGATGTCTAGAATCAACAGTGCACTGACTGGCCTTCAACCTAAAACCTTCAAAGTGCTCTTATCAGGAGAGGAGAGGATGTTTACAACTCCCTTTAGCTCTTTCACTACAGCAGCGCCCAAAGCTTCCCCACATGCTCTGCGCAAGGAGAACCAGCAACTGGTAAGAAAGGGTGCCGTGGGCTTCGTGGGAGCGGAGGGCGGCCAGAGTGGGGAAGGCAGGCTTTCAGCCCATGGAAGAGGGAACTGCAGCACGGCCAGTCAGGGGAACTTGGAAGTCTAAGCAGCAGCAGGGACCTCGGTGGTCTCTGGAGAGGGACACTGGGAGCCTGATGGGCTGACACAGCGCTCTGGTCCGGATGCAGAGGCCTGTCAGAGGGAGCACCACTCCAGGAGACTTGAACCCCACCACCCTCAGCATCAGCCTTCCTGCAGGCGGCCCTGGCACCTCCCTCCAGAGACCAGGCCTGAGGGAAGGTATGCCCCTCCCCCTCGGGGGCCTTCTTGGTAAGAAGGGGGAGTGACGAGACTTAAAGAACTGAGACAGTCAGAAGAGACGATATAACTGCTGGTACAAGCTGGGCTGTGAGTGGACTATATTCCCACTGGAAGGGACATGGTGAACTGTCAAGGACCAGGTTCTCACACCCTCCAGGAGGGACAAATGAGGAAGGTCAGTTCAGCTACAGAAATTAAGAAACTTCTTTCTTAGCATCTCACCACCTGCCACTTCTCATTTCCCAGACGATGATGCTGGGGCCACAAGGAATGAGGTGAGGTGGCCTCCGTGGCAGTGCGGGCCAAGCCCCTTGTCACAAATTTCATGCATCGGCCCTCTAGTATTAGAATAAGTGTGCAAAATCTGTGAACCCTCTCTCTGACTTATGAGGCAAGCTAATCTATTGTGAAGCTATCTAACTAGTTGAGGGCAAAATTAAGAAATGATAAGAGTTGTGACTTCACAAAAGACTACACTGAAAAAGCAGTCAGGCCCTGGCCAGTTTGTTCAGTGGTTAGAGTGCCAGCCTGTGGACCAAAGGATCCGGTCAAGACCATATACCTCGGTTTTAAGTTCCCCAGCCCCAGTAGGGGCCCGTGCAGGAGACAACCAATCGATGTCTGTCTGTCTCTGTCTCTCTTTCTCCTTTCTCCCTTCCACTCTCTCTAGAAATCAATGGAAAAATATCCTGGGGTGAGGATTAAAAAAAAAAAAAAAAAGTACTCAGATGAGGAGATCCAACAATCCTCTCAATTAATTCATTTATTAACTAAACATTTAGTGAATATCACATAAAGACAGACATTCTGATAAGCACTGGACCTGGTTTCTGCCGCAGCTAGTGACACAGCTCAGAGGGTCACCCAGAAGTGGTCACCGAAGAACTCAAGGCTGGGAAGGTTAACCTATGCCTTCAACACTTGGGCCCCTTCCACACTCAGAACCATAACACACCCAGAGCAATTTCTGGCTAAAGACAGGGAACACTCAACAGTGAACCAAAGGCATATGCAAACCAGGAAGACATAGATGGTCTAAACCCGTGGTCGGCAAACTGCAGCTAGCGAACCACATGTGGCTCTTTGGCCCCTTGAGTGTGGCTCTTCCACAAAATACCACGCCTGGGCGAGTCTATTTTAAAGAAGTGGCGTTAGAAAAAGTTTTAAAAATGTGGCTCTCAAAAGAAATTTCAATCGCTGTACTGTTGATATTTGGCTCTGTTGACTAATGAGTTTGCCAACCACTGGTCTAAGCTAACCCCTGATTGGATGGAAAGAGAGATAGCAAGGAATCAGAAAATTCAATAGCAATATCCAGAAGCTCATCTTTATTTATAGGTTTTTATAGGATGTTATAAGCACTACATCCTCTCATTCACTACTAGGAATCATTATCTTATTCCAATCATAGTGATAAAAAAAAATTAAGGAGGTTCTTCCCATTTATCTGTTAAGATACGTATACTACCGCCAAAACTGGTTTGGTTCAGTGGACAGAGCATTGGCCTGCGGACTGAAAGGTCCCAGGTTCGATTCCGGTCAAGGGCATGTACCTTGGTTGCGGGCACATCCCCAGTGGGGGGTGTGCAAGAGGCAGCTGATCGATGATTCTCTCTCATCGATGTTTCTAACTCTCTATCCCTCTCTCTTCCTCTCTGTAAAAAAATCAATAAAATATATTAAAGAAAAGATATGTATACTACCATAGGCTATTATAGAAAAACACACACATAAGAGCCATTTGATTTTCATTAATTGGTTATAATCATCTTATAGAACTGACGCTTTCATTACATTAACATTAAACACATTTGGATTATTACAGTAACAAAGAAGCCTGTATCCCAACTTATCAAAATGGTACCAAAGGGGTACTTGGCTCTTCAAGCATCAGATCTGTACTATCACCACCACCAAGCACGAGGATCTGACCCAGCACCTGACTGCTTGGCCTTCTATGCCAGATGCTGCCCATGGGAGGACTCAGGCAAAATCTGCAAGAACAAGGAAGCAGCAAGGCACTAGAGAACCAGCGACCCCATGCACCCGAGCTCGGCGTGTCTTCCTGTCCTCCTCCTCAGGGGCGCTCTCTGGGTGCCTCCTCACAGGCAGTTCTCACCACCTGCCACTTCTCACTTCCCATCAGGCATGAAGGCAAGTTCCCTGGGGAAGTCCTCCTTCAGATTACAATGCTGCCCCGAAAGTGGACTAGCTTCCCCAAATATTCACAATTTAGCTAGCAGGTCGACAACCCAAGCTACAGTATATTGCTTTCACTCACTCTGTTTTATAAAGAAAAAACACGCTATGGATGCCAGATACTTTTTGCTATCTACAAAAGTGACTTAGCTCTAAAGAATTCTTTTCCTTGTTAGCAGTGAGACAGTAAAACAGACTTGGCTTTGTTTCAGTTTCTACCTAGTTGCTAAAAATTGTATGTCAAAAATACTCTCATCCTACCTAATAAAAGAGCAACATGCAAATTAACAATCACTCAGCTACACCCATAAGCCACGCCCACAAGCCAATCAGAGTGAGTATGCAAATAAACCCAACCAAGATGGATACGGCCACAGAGAGCAGGAGGGAGGCTTGGGTTTTCCAGGCAACAAAAGAAGCCAAGCTTTTTACCTGCCCTTGCCCACCTAAGCCTTCACTAAAGGCTACAAAGTTTCAATTATAGAAGGTAAACAAATCCAAACAGAAAGACGGCTGCCATAGAGCTGGAGAGAGCCCCCACCTTGATCCAGGACACCCTTCAGGGCAAACCAGCTGGCCCCCACCCATGTACCAGGCCTCTATCCTATCTAATAAATGAATAATATGCATACTGACCATCACTCCAATACACAAGATGGCTGCCCCCATGTGGTCAAAGATCCTGCCCCCATGTGGACACAAGATTGCCATCACAAGATGGCCAGCAGGAGAGGGCAGTTGGAAGGAACCAGGCCTGCAAGGGAGGGTAGTTGCGGGCGATCAAGCCTCCAGGAGAGGGCAGTTAGGGATGACCAGGTTGGCAGAGGAGGGAAGTTGGGGGCAAACAGGCTAGCAGGGGAGCAGTTAGACATCAATCAGACTGACATGGGAGTAGTTAGGGGTGATCAGGTTGGCAGGTAGAAGTGGTTAGGGGCAATCAGGAAGGCAGGCAGGCGAGCAGTGGGACATCCCTTGCAAGAGGGACATCCCTTGAGGGGTCCTAGATTGGAGAGGGTGCAGGCTGGGCTGAGGGACACCCCGTGCACGAATTTTGTGCACCAGGCCTCTAGTTATTATGTAATAGAGGCCTCTTGCAGGAAGATTCCTGCAATAGGGCTTCTTGCTGTGGTCTCCGCTGCCCTGCCTGCTTCCCTCCCTTCTCCGCCGCCCTGCTCGCTTGTTTCTCTGCAGCTTCACTCCCTCTGCAGCGATTGGCTTCTTTCTATGCTGTCTTCTGTCTTTGCTCTGGCCTAGATAGGCAAATTAGCCACCATCTTGGTTGGGTCAATTTGCATATTTGTCCTGATTGGCTGGTGGGAGTGGCTTGCGGGTGTAGCGAAGGTACGGTCAATTTGCATGTTTCTGTTTTATTAGAGAGGATATTCATAATCATTTTTATGTCCTTGCCATAAAGTGTAAGAATTTCTATCCAATAAATCAATGTTACTGGTTCTTACCCAGACCTCAAAATTGTCGTCTCCTATCTAAAGATAGTGATGTCAGCCTGCGAAGCGAGATTTGTCAAAGGTAAATATGAATAAGCTTCATAATTCCTCCTGGCGTATGA